AAAGAGTGGGGCAACTACTTCATTCTGTGTATGGGGAATGTTTAAGCTATTCCACAGAACTGAGTATGTTCTGAAGCCTTGTTTTAAATTCAGAATTACTTTATACACTGGGGAGAAAATGTAGCCCAAAAATTATTTGGCATCATGGTTTAAAAATTTATTTTTCAAAACAGAATCATGATGTTCACCCTTTCAAACTGGCTTAAAACATATGGAAAGGACAGATCCACGTGGCAATGTTTTCATGAAATAGTGTGAAATTCAAATGGCAAAAACTGAAGGAAGTGGTGCCTCGTAGAACTCCTAGGCCGTGTCCAGATATTGTTACCTCTCAGCTCTGTCTTCTTGAGGAACCCTTGTACAGTACGCAGCCTGTTTGACTCACAAAGGACTCACCCCCTCCCCACCTCCGCCTGAACAAGAACTGATTAGAGGAAGGACTTACAAAAGACAATGAAGATGCAGTGGGAGACCCATCTAAAACCCTCCAATCAAGGGTGATAAGAGTAAAGCAACTCCCCTGGTCTCATTTGCATCCAAGATGGAACCACATGACAACTCATTTAAATGGCAGCTGGGACAGGAATGCACCTTCATTTGCATTCGGGATGAAGAACAGAGAGTCCAAGGCAAGGACAGCACTGAATTCTGGGACCAGAGAAGCAGGGGAGCACTGTATGATGGGGGATCCCTGCTCCAAATGCTAATCAACCCATGTCTACACACATCCAGCTCAGCAGTTATTAGACCAATTCTAGTAATAACTCCTTTATTGGTACTCAAAACACTGAATCTGCCTGTCTGTATTGTGCACTCCCTCAGAGTAATGCCACCCATAGTCAGGAGTGATCAGTTCCTATTATCCAGCACATGAGCCATTGTGTACCCACAAACAAACCTAGTGTTCTCCCTTGAGCCATTGTTAGTTCTCTACAAAAACCCCTACCCAAGCTCAAGTTTCTGTTCTGGGGCTTGGATCCAAAAGCTGCACCACTTCCCCTCCTTTTCTGCCTGCAATCCCTCCAGTAATCGTGCTCAGAACTCTGCCTGTCTGCAAGCTCCAGACTAGACTTCCCCAAATACCTAACTGAAACTATGTAATACTGTAACTCTTTTATTTGTCTCTTCTGTATGGCTATTAATACTGGTATCATCATAAGTTCATATACCTGGCACTAAATAATTTTTATGGTCAAGCTGGTTGCTATACTCTCTCTCTGAACCTCACATACTCTTCCTTCCCCTTGACTGCCCCATTTCCTCTGCAGCAATGCTTCTTTTACCTATGCCAAAGATCTCTGTAATGCCCAAAACCACAGTGGGGTCTGCTTATCAAGGGAGTTACTACTAGGACCATTGTGACAAGAGTTTGGGGATGTACTGAGTTTTGAATGAGGGTGTCAGCCTGTTAATGCTGATTGACCCGGCCTGGCTCAGACATACTCTGTTCCTGAACTGAGTTCAGGGCACATGAGGGTGTCAGCCTATCAATGCTGAATAGTCCAGTCTGACTTAGATGCGCTCTATTAAACCTGTGTGGTTGTGTCTGACTGCATTTTATTGTTGCCCTGATGAACTGAGTTCACGACATATGAGGGTGTTAGCCTGTCAGTGCTAAATAACCCGGCCTGGCTCAAGCGTGTCCTGTTAATCTGCATGTGTACATGCATATGTGTTTGACTGATTCGGTGGTTGGAGAAACCTAGCCCCATTGAAACTGAGTCCTGCAAGATAGCTCCACTGGGGGGTGAGGACTTGCCGAAGGGAGAGATACAGGTGTTTCTATATGGAGCTGTAACACAAGCAACACAGACAGAATTAGAGACCCCAGAAATGTACCCCTAATAAATGAGCACACCCCAAAGTGATGGGCAAATCTGGTAACAATGTGCATGGACCTTTGGTTCCTCAGGGACAACTAGTCATGGCACATCTTGTACCGCTGCTAGTTGTCCCCGTGGAATGCCCGTGCCATGTGCGCTCTAGGGTGTGGCAAGTTACTCTGTGTGGGGTAGGGAAGGCTGGGGATAGCACTGGGTTGGCCCCAGCAGCCTCCTGGGGGCCTCCCATGGTTGCAGCAGTGGTGATACTGCTGCATGGAGCCTGGCTGGCAGTGGAGTGTGGCTTCGGTTGGCCAGGCTCCGGCTTTTGGCAGCGCATGTTACTGCCACATGTGCCACTCCACTTTTTTTCCCCTGCGGGTTTTTTGTTTTACTTCTGGATACCCAGGGGTAAAAAAAAAAACCCTCTGTGCTGCTCCCTTGCACCTCAGAGAACAACTGAATGTGTGGCATGTGGTGCTGTAGATGTGCCTGCGGCATGATATACCACATGGCTGCGCTCGTCTGGACATGGCCCTAAAAGCTGTTACCTGATAGCTTGTTTAAAATGTGGGCTGGAAGTGGGGTAAGGTGAAGATGAGATTCCTAACACAGTAAGTTCGCTGCATTTTGAGAGGCACCATTATCTGCTTATATGAAGAATTTGAGTTCCAAACCACTCTCTCCATCTATATTGTGAAATTTAAAAGGCAAGGACTGATCATCTTTTCTGGCTCAGTGCTTTTTTTTCCTCAATACACAGTGACATTTCCTGCTTTTATAAATCAATACACAGTCTACCAAATGCATGTCAGATATTTTAAGAAGTTACTCTTTGTCAACAGCACATCCATTTCTTTTAATAAAGCACTATGAGTCATACCTTTTTGCATTTGTAGCAAACATAATAAGCATATCTGTTCATGGCAAAGCCAGCCGGGTCATTATAAAATCTAACACCAGGTGTTGTGATGGCCTCGCTCTTGTGCAATCCTTCATATTCCAACCTCATTAGAGCTTTCCTCCTTACATCTTCATAGAGTTCTTTGATTGGATCAAGCAAGTCCTTTAATACTATATGATTAATTTTGTTCTGAAATAAAAAGTAATCAATAAAACACTTGGTCTCTCATCTCATCTCTTCATTATAATAATCACAGTATCTGTATTACAGGAAAGTACAAAGGCCCCAGTCAGACTTTGAGTCACTGAGTGGTGTACAAAAATAGAAAAGAACATGGAACAGATACTTCAGGAAAGGGGAGCTCTAGTAGCTACTATACTTGTTCAACTAACTTTTCAGCTCCCATTTCTCTCTCACTAAGGTTATGACTTCGCAGAACATCAAAGCAAAGAGACTTCAAGCACTTCTTTTCTTCATTTCTGTTTTTTTCTGGTACTGAAAGGCTAAAAGTCTTCTAGTCTTCTTATGAAGACTACCCCAGGGATAGATAATTTAAGCTAAGGTGAAAGAAATGTAGCTTTTAGAGGTTTGAAGACTCCGTTCTTACAATGACTATCTTCTGCCTAACTCTTGGGTTATTACCAGGGATCCTGGTTTTCTCTGTTTAAAAATTGTAAATTCCCTGATTAAAAAAAATGGTAAATTCTCTGATTAATAAACCCCAAATCCTCGTTTTTCCATGGTACAACCCAGGATGAGGCTGGGAGTGCTGCCCAGTTGGGGCGCTGCATAGGCTTGGGGCCCAGACCCAGTGCAGCTTCAGGGCCCAGGCCGGAGCAGAATGGAGTCACAGGAGGCTTGTCCGGGAGGGAGGGATTGGCTCCCCATTGCTGAGTGCACTGAGGGGAGGAGCATGGGGGAGCACGTGCCTCCCAAATTTGTGCGTGGGGCAAGGCTGAGCTGACCACTGCGGGTTCGGGGCTCCCCATCCCTGCCCAACTCCCTCCCTCTCTCACTATGGGGACCTCTTCCCCCACTCAACCCTCCCACTGGACTTACCTACAGGAGCTGCTTTCCAGGATGTATGGTGGCCATGTGCACGTGTATATGTACACATGCACATGGCGCCCCGTCTGACCATCTCTCCTACTCCCTCCAGCCCCTTGCACGTTGGAACTCTGCCAGTCTACAAGGGTAAACCCAGCATTTCCTGTGTTTTCTCCTTTAAAGGAGAAAATCCAGTTTTTTCTCCTTAACATGAGAAAATCTGGGTTTTACCACATTTTCCCATCATGAATGGAAAACCCAGATCCCTGGTTATTACAAGCTGATGGAGCTTAAGATACATAGGTAAGTGAAAGGACTTCTGCGCTGCTTTCAGTTTTCAAGGAAAACTATGTTTGTAGGTACAGCATGCAAGAAAAGTAAAACATTCGTAACACTTTCCACTATGTGCAAAACAGAACAATCTAATATAATTAAGGAAAGCCATCTCTGTCATCTACACAGCAAATACAGAACCTGCTTACCTTGCAAATAGGACAAGACATAAACCCAAAAGTTATCCTTGGCCCAAGCCATCTGTTTTCTAGTACTCGCTGACAGCATTGCAAGTGGAATACATGACTGCAGTCCAGCTTTAAGAGAAAAGGAAGATGTATATGATAAGTAGTACTGTAAATGCAAGTTACAATAATTAGGTAATGAGACACCATTATATTTGAGTTTTTGCTTAAATAACAATAGATGACACTGCAAATTCACTTATTAGCATCGTAACAGAAAGAAACAATAATGAAAATAAAGACTATTAAACAGTAACTAAAACAGAAACTTTTGCATGATACTAACAAGTGGACATATGAAATCACCAAGAGTGACCATGGTTAGTTAGTTAGTACACTAACTTCTGTAAAATTATCAGACAGACATATACCCTTTAAAGATATATGCAAACGCATTTCAAGGAATATGCTGTATTTTGCAGGTAAGAAAATGGGAATAACTTCAATACTAACTGCATGAAGCCATGATAAAGTGGTACAGAAATAAAGAGGTGGCGATTTGAAACTTTTAAGAATGTTTCTGAGTTGGCTTTTCAGTTACAAGGGCTCAAAATAAAGCAAATGTCAACCCTACCTGCATTCTCAAGTAATATAGAGCAGTGCTGTTCAACCCAAAGAAAGCATTAAGTAACTTGTGCACTAATACAATCCTACAAATTATATTTTACATTTTTTAAAAACTTAATACTGCCGCAACAGATTAGCATTTTAAGTAAGAAAGGCAAACCTGGATTGCTGGTGCTGCTGAAAGTGCTTCAGTAAAACAGATCATGCACATATCATCAGCATCTTGTTTCAGACTTGTAGCATTCTTATCACAGCCATGCAGGCAAGGCAAACAGTGTTCTTCATTCTTAACACCTCCACATGGATGACCACAAGGATGTGTCTTGCTACAAGCTATCTTGGCATACTCCTGTCAAAGAGGAATTATATAATCAATCCTTTTCCTAAACACAATTATTTTTTTTAGCGCAGTCGTGACCGACTTTTTTGGCAGGTCTGCCACAAACCATCCCTGCACCCTCCCTAAGTGCCACCCTGATCCACTTCCCCTGCTCGATCTGCTGCTTTGCATCTGCTTGGTATTCTTTATCCAATCTTCGCCTCTGCTTTTTGCTTCTTTTCCTGTGCTCTCTACCACATCTTCTACTTTGCTTTTTGCTGCCTGTCTTATCTGCTACTGTGCTGCTTGTCCCTTTCTTGATCTGGTGTGTGCCACAGCTGCCCATGCCACAAGTTGGCCACCCCTGCTCTAGATCTCTTGTGTTGCTTCTTGTGGGATCTTTACTTTATTGCAATCATAACTAAGGGGTAGGCAATTTTTGTTACTGTTCTCTAATATATTCCCAACTGCACTGGTGCGATCTCTCAAGTTGCATGACCTTGAAATGAAACCAAATATTTTAATTTGCTTTTACTGTGCATTTCCTGAAGTGGGGAGTCAAAATGAAAAAAGGATTCTGATCAAAGAATTATAGGACTGAGGTGGGATTTGATAAGAGTCTTCAAATATTTGAAGGTGATTATAGAGAGGATGAAGACAGGTTTTTTGCTGTGGCTGTAGGGAACAGGATTAGGAACAATGGACTGAAGCTGCAAGAGAAGAAGTTTGGGCTGGAGATCAGAAGGAACTTTCTGACTATAAGGGTAGTCAAGTATTGGGACAGGCTGCCTAGAAAAATTGTGGCATGTCCGCCCTAGAAATTTTCAGGAGCAGGTTGGACAGATACTTGACTGGGATGGTTTAGTCAAAGATGCTCCTGCCTTCAGCAGCAGACTGGACCAAATGACCTTGTGAGGTCCCTTCCAACCCTACTTCCTTATGATCCTATGAGCTTTTTATACAATAATCCAGAAAATGGAGAAAATTATTAAATACAGCTGAAGAGACTTTATCATCAACTTACCCACGTTTCTGTCTAAAATCTTAGGGGTTTTTTTTACCGGTAAAACTTAACTTTGAAATAGTTTAAAGAATTTAAAAAGTATATTCTTTCTGTCTCTGTATTTTGCACTTGTATTAAAACTTTTGTATAATCAGATTCACTGTTTTATCCTTGGTATTTATCCGTTAGAAACATCTGCAAATGTTAAAGTCTTTTGAAAAAGACTTGCTGACTGCACATTTATCCGAGATATACAATTACCCCCAAATAAAAAGACACTGCATCAGCTTGCTGTTAATCAGCACAGCTACATCTTGAAACCAGAAGTGGTGAGAAGGCACTAAGTGGCATGTAGCCCATTCTACTCCTTGTACCCTCAGTACAGGGTACAAGAACATACCAAGCACAAGTGTGCCCTAATTGGTTATTGTTCAAAAGACTCAAATCTCAAGTGAATCATAATCAGACTATGTACAGAAACAAGCCCTCAATGGAAAACTAATCTAACCAAAATTTCAAAAATACTAGACTTCCCATGGTCTGTAAACATTTAATGCTATAACAGTCAAACTGGAACTCAGAAGTGAGATTTTCTTACAAATATTACTAACACATGTTCTCAGCAGCTACCGATGTAAACTGGTTAACTAACATTTCATTTGAGAACTGATGCTTTTAGTCTAGAGAACTAAACACTTAGGAACTGGATGCTCAATCCTATAAACTCTTTGCCTATATTATTCAGTCTTACTCATATGATAGAACTTACTGATTTAAAAGGAACCACTGGTGTAAATAAGGAATCTTCCCAAGAAATGATTCAGACCAGTGGTGCCCAACCTTCTTACTGGATCTTACTCTGGGTCGGCATGTGGGGTTGGTCCATGAGTGTGATACTGAAGAAAAACACCCACATGTGGTCATTCACTGACCCAATTCCACCACATGCCAGCTCTATCCTGTATGCCTGGATCTGGCTGCAGACTGACCCTGTATGCTGGGGCAGGGCCATGTTATCTGGCCCACAGGGCTCTCTTTGGGTCTGGAAATTTGGCAATTAACACAGCCACCACTCTCCTACTGCCAAATTTCTGGACCTGTGGGGAGCCCCATAGGCCAAATGACAGCTCTGCAGACTGGATCTTGGCCACTAGGTGGATGTTGACCACCACAAATTTAGACACCACAGCCTTTGACTTTTACTGTGAATTGCTAGTTGAAGACTAGTGATTCCTAACAGTTCAGTTTCATGACAAAGCTGGTTTTTGGATTTGTATACACACCTGGCAGTCTGCATCAGAACAGACGCTGCCTACTGCTGATAATTCTGTTCCACTTCTACAACCACAGAAACGACATGCTTCAGAGCTGCTGGTTGTAGGTTTGCCTAGGCCCATAAAAAGCAAACAAAAATTCAGAATCCCCCCTAATAAAAAATACACCAACAACAGAACCAACAATCAAATGACATAGCCTGCATAATGTAACTATACAGGGAATTATGAGACTCATGCTTGTGGGCAGCACGTTTCCTGTGAAACCTTCCAAAATGCTGGTGGCCCCTCGGAAATGTAGAAATTAAAACTGCAAGAACAAAGTATGATGTTACCTGCAGTAGAAATGTATGCTCCTGGGATTTTCTTGGAGACATAAGGACAACAAAAGCAAGAGGGAACCTGCTTTTGTAAGTTCAGTGAAGAGAGCATTCCTTTTGGAGGGAGGAAACATGAGTCCCAACCCCTGTTCCCAGAACCTGTCGGTGCATTTTAAATTACAACAGTCACTGGCTGAAAAAGGAAATAACTCTGGGAGCCTGGCTGCCCAGTGGCCCAACTTCAATAGTGGGGATTGATGCAGTCACTACCTAGACTATAGTTACGGCAGTTAAAACACTTATTTGCCTGCATTTACTTGGTATTTCAAGGTGTCATCAACATTCCATCACCAAGGCAATTAAGTAGGGCAGTATCATAAGACAGGATTCAATATTTTGCTTTAAAAAAACCAAAACTGATATAAAGCATTAAATGTAAAGAATAAAAAGGTTCTCCTTTTAGAAGTGCTCTTTTGGAAAATCTTAAAAATTAACAAGTTGAAAAAGAAATGAGCCAAAACATCTGCATTTTACCTGTTTGTTCTCTAAACTCCACCATGGCCTTCATAGTTTTAGAGTCTGCAAGTGCCATTAGCCAGAAAAGTTTGGTCCTACCACAGCCTTCATGAAGATCAACTTTGATAGCTTCTTCCTCTTCTTTGAATACCTGCCCATTTAAGCAAATGGATATTAAACAGTGTTCTTATAAAAAAATGGAGGCAGTAAGCAATTTAAAAAAACACTATTTTTGTTTCATCTACAAGTCTGGATTTTTGTCAAGGATGGCTAGATGACAGACATTTTGTATTGCAAATTTAACAAAATATGGATTCTGGAATTTGTAAGATGAGTGGGATGGTCTGGTCAAACTGTAAAGGAAAGAGGGATAGAAGATTTATATTTAATTAGCAGAGATATGAATAAAGAGAAAAGGAAAATGTCAACAATACTGTAGACTGCAAAAAATGCTGCCAAATGAAATAATTTTGAGGAACAATAAGTTTGCCAAAAACATGGATGAGTTTCTTAATGGATTCGTGCAAATTGTTTGCTCTTCTTCCTTTCTTTGTTATAGAAGGCTCTTTTTAAATTGATCTGACATGTAATATAATAAAAAAAGAACTTTATTGTCTGTGTAGATTTGTAAGCTCCAGTCACAGAAAAAAAAATATATATATATTGGGCTTGTTTATAATACATGTGAAATTAAATGATATATCAGGATATAAAGTATTTATCCTTTGCTTTTGGTGTTACAAAAAATGCCTTTCCATGTTGGCCCTACTCACAATTTGTAGCGTTATAAACTGACAAATCATTGCACACGTTAAGCGTGACAATATGGTCAGTGATAACAGAGAATCCGTGTGCAAAGAGCTTCACATCAAGAAGTAAATATATACCCCCATAGAATAAAGAAGAATTAACTTAAAAAAATTATTTTTAAAATACTTTGTTTTCCAACTGAGCAACTCAAGGATGAAATGAGGCAAAAGATTCAAAATCCAGATTTGAAGTAGTTTCTTTCACCTCTAGTCAACCAGCTAAATTGAAGCAGTCATTTTCAAAGTTGCTGAGCACTTCTACTTCCCCTTTGATGATGGTGAGATATGTATAACATGATTTCTTGACACTCTTAAGTGAATGGAGAGAATAAAAAGGAGTCAAAGATGACCTCAGATTACAAGCCTGAGAAACAAAGAAAGTGATTGTTGCCAAACGTACTGAAGAAAGGAAAAGAAGAGACTACAAAGAGACAAATAAGGAACTCTAGTTTGGCCATATGAAATCTAAATTGGCCATAGAGACTAACTCAGATATACAGGACTGAACTGACTAGGACAGGCCAGCAGGGGGAACTGACCAAATTAACATTAAGATAAAGAAACTCTTAAGATTGATGACAAGTCCAAGGTATATAGTGTAAAGGTTGAAAATCCCCCCATGGGGCCATCCTCTTCAGAGGCAGAAAAAGAAACTGTCAAGAGAGAAGCTGAAACATAAGCTTTTTTAAAACGTTAAATTAAATACATTTCTTGCAAGGCAGAGTCTAGGGAACCATTTATTCTAGGCACTGTACAAATGCAAGTCAGAAGAGAACTATGAAAGAAGAAATACACAAAAGCCAAAAGGAAGAAAGGGAAACTCAGAGAAGGAGTAATCAACAACTGTATCAAACACATGTTCAAGATAACATATGCCAAAAGAAAGAGGAAGGAGTGGGAGGCAACAAGAGAAAGTAGTCAGACTTCAGTGAGCATTGTTTCAATTCAGAGAAGTGACTAGAAGACAGTGCCATAAACACAGGAGAGTCAGAGGAATACAAATTTGTGTGTCAACTTGTAGAAACCTAATTCAAAGAATTTAAGGAAGGACACTGTGACCATAGCTAAAGACAAGTAAGACCAGAGTATTTTTGGTGGGTGTATGTACGGGGATGCTGCTATATACATAACATAATACACTTGTATCTGAAGAAAAGAAGCTTGCAGGAATGTGATGACAGAGGAAGTGGTCACAAAACAGGACAGGATAAGAGAAAGATGGAAATGAAAAAAATGGAAAGGGTAGAAAGAGGGAAAGGTGGAGGGATTTTTAGGAGGACTGCGTTTAAGAGAATCACTCAAGAAAAGGGAAGAGCTGCAAGGGAAAAAGGGTGAGGAAATGAAAGAGGGCTATATATTAAGTCTTCAGCGATAAAAAAGGGCAGGGAGTAGACAGGGCTTGAAGACTGCATCAGTGAGAACACACAATGAATGGGGTTCGTGAGCGCGGACCTCCCACGAGACCAGTGGTAAATACGGCAAATTTCCAAGACAGCAAAAGGACAATTTTTTAATTAACATGTCTACGTGGCCCTTGGATTTCTTCTTGGAAATTAAATGAAGTTAGAATAGGAAAGGAGGGAGCAGATAAGAGCCAGGGTTAGAGTTTACTGGCTGGTATTACCATGCTGTTCATAAGAACACTTTACAAGGCCAAGAAAAATCAAGTAAAACTGAGTGCAAAATTAAATGCAAATTTATTAATTCATTTTTGGAGGTATATAGAAAAAAAGAATATGTACAACTGTTGATTACTACACTTATGGGATTGATCAATAGGGGAAAACTGACATCTACTGAATGACATCTACCGAAATGCACATCCTTAGACGTGGTATATACCTGTCTCTGATGAGTCTTTGTTCGCCGATGGAGATGAAGAAATCTGTCACAGTCTGTACACAAATTTCCACAGATATTACACAAAATGATTGCAGCAGTTTCACCATCATCATGGTTATCACACATTGGCTAAAAAACAAAGAAATATAAAGGGAATTATTATACTATAATTTTCTGTTTCTGTCAATACCCCTGCACTCTGTCTCCCTGAAAGGAAGACAGAAAACTTCTGAACAACAACTAAGAATTTGTTTTAGACTATTAACTGTTAGCTTTGGAATAACCAATAAATAAAAAGTCGTGCCTGGCAACAAATTTATGAACAAAAAGTAGTGCTACAGCCAGCAGCTTTGCTTTGTTTAATAACAATTAGCTCATTCTCCAATGAAATTGGGAAAGTAATTTCCAACAGATCGTGAGTCAAAAATCTCTGTATCATTACCTGACAATTTACTTTATTTTGGTAATAACTTGATAAAAAACTTACAGGTATTGTTGCTGAGATGTGTCAAACTGGCAAAAATATCTACCCTGAGCTCAAGTGTTATGACATGCTGCCTGTTCTGTTTAACTACATCATGAAAACCCTGTATAGCCCTTGACAATGTGAACAATTCCTGTGGTAACTAACTCATAGCATTCATTTACTCTACTGGCACAGGGTACCTTTACTTTCCACTGTGAGTGCTACAATAATACATCCCATATGGCTTGCAAGTTGCAAATATTTACGTAGGTATTTTTCACTGATCACTTTGAAAATGGGTTTTTATTATATCCATCACACCTCGGTTCCTGTGATATTGTTCAAGTCACTTATTTCAGAACTCTTCTATTTGGATAAGCTAGTTGGGAGCTGCTTCGACAGCTCAGCTCTCTCTCTGGCTGTCCAGGCTCTGGGCTGATGCACTAATGCTCCAATTAACCTGCCTCCCTGCAGGGACTACTAACTCCCTAATCCCCAGCTGCAAGACTCCATGGAATAGTGCAGACAGCATATTATGTAATTCAATTAACTCTTCTTTTTGGTGAAAACAGGAGAGAAGAGACAGCTATAGTCATATTCCAAGGCAGAAACAGTCCTTTTGTAAGATGGAATAAACACTTCTGGAATGTCTACATTTACAAACATGTGAATACCTTAATTAACTATAAGAAATTTAGGGGAAAAAACCCACTAGAGCAGACCTACCGCAAACATCGCTTATTCCAAAACAAAATTGATATGAAATCTATAGGGGCCCCAGCTATGAGAGCCACTCTAAAGTACCAGTGTCTCACGTATCACCGTCCCCACACATTTGACGAGCTTTAGTTCATGCACCCCCACCACCATTTTTAAGCATGGGAACACTGATACACGAGACACGGGAGGATGCTGGAGTGCAGTAATTACCATGCTCCAGCAGACACGATTAATTGAGTCTGCTCTGACGCACTGTACTTACAGCATTGAAGCAGGCTCTGCACTTGTGTACAGAAGCCCATACTGTTGGACATCTGTTTACTCATTGCAAGCAAGCAATCCTGTTAAAACACAAGCTGTCCTTAAAGTGAAAAACAAGGACAAAACTAGCTTTCTCCAATCTGATTTCAGAGGTTAGGCTAGAAGTCTGGATCTTCCAGTCAATAAACACCTATGTATTTACCAAATTTAACATCTGTTGTTTCCACCTTTTAGTTAGAAAGCCTTTTCTCTTGCTTAGGATTATCATCCATCAAACATATCTGTCCAGATAAATTGAGCCACCAAGAGAGAAAAGTTGTCTTGGCTTATGGGACTCGGAAGACTCACCTTTAATATACAATGCAGCTAAACTTACGTTGTTATAAGACTGGAATCAAGAGTACAAAAGTACAAAAGCAGTTTCTCAGGTCTTGGCATGGCCTTTTTGAGGAGCAGCACATTTCAATCCCTTCTATAATACCAATACACAATATTTTCTTTGCAGTTTGGCCTCTTCATTCTTAAATTTGTTTTAAACTGTTGAGTTTATACCAACTGGGCCTAGTAATTTGCTTCTTTTTAACTTAACAGTTTGTCTGATAGGATTTGAGGGGAAGCACTTCCTAGTCAAGACAGAGGTAAAGAAAATTATATAACCTCTGAGCAACGCCCTGCCCTCCCTTAATTGCCTCTTTCAGTCTTTTGTAGTCCAACAGAACCACTGGCAGATTTCATTGTTCTGGTATATCTAAAAATGTACTTGTTCTTACACCATTTTCTGTAGTCATCTTTGGCTTTGTTACTGCTTGTTTAGAAAGTTTATTAAAAAACCATGTGAAGTCTAAAATATTAGAAAACATATTGCATTCCAAGTATTACCATCTGTTTCTGTTGCCCATCTTTTCCCATCCATCTTCCAGAAGACAGTCTGTCCACATGGTCCTGATCAAGCACACAGAGGGATGCTAAGGCCAACCAGAGCTGTTGAAAGGGAAAGAAGGATTGCAGAAATCATTTAGGAAGAATTAATCCTCCCCCCCCAAACCCAACTATAATAAATGCAATTGTTGTGGATGGGAACAAACAATTTGTGCCTGCAAATGGTATTTCCATTACTTTAGAGTCCAGTCTACATGATAATATGAGATTTCCCCATTTTATCAAATACACCAGTTTAAAAAAAACCCAAAACAAAACAGTCACTGCATTTTTGGGTATAAATCTGAGAACAAACTCATCACTTTTTAGCTTTCCCTGCCTTAAATGTATAAAAGTATCAGTTAACTATACAAGACACAATAGAAAATGAAAGTCAATCACAAAATGTATAGTGGAAAACATGAATGTATATTGGGAAACTAAACAATGGCGTGAATCAACTCGGGTAATAACTCAGCAGGAACAGAGAATATCAATGTATGTTGCTAACAAAAAAAATTTTATAGGAAAAACAACCTACTACTACAACAGGAACTTGCAAAATAGTATGGGCAGGGCTGTCATCGGCCATTTTACAAAAGGCCTGGTTGCTGGTAAAAAGTTGTTTTCTACGACTGACTTGGGTAAGTTAACACTTTAATAGCTCCAACTAAGCACCCCAAGAAACAGAAAAAAAAATCTATCTATCTATCTAGGTACTCTAAGTCTAAGCATTGCTTTGTTCACCTAGATCTTGTATATCACCTTGTATAGCAGGGACTGAGGACAGCAAATACAAGATGAGCTTTGATTCTGAGATGAAAAGAGGCATCTAATGGTGAATCATCTATATAAATTAAATCTCTTATTCTGGAGTATATAACCCCCAGTGTATATGTGGGGGGATGTGGGGGCAGGGTGTGGGTGTGAGGGAAGTTGGGGGGGGTGTGGGGACCTCCCCCCGTCCCACTCCCCCTGTGGCGCAGCAACAGGCAGGGTGCTCAGGGCGCAGGTGCCTGGTGGGACACTGTTCTGGCCAGCGCTGCACATAGCAACAAGGGGCACAGCTTCCACATGGCTGCCTGTATTTGCTGGCGCTCCCTGCCATTCACACGCTGCCCTTGCACAAGGACAGCAGATGCTGCACAGCGTTGTGTAGTGCTGCGCAGGCCCAGCAGGGAAGACACCTGGCTCCAGCACATGGGGTTTCCCTCCATGCTGTGCGAGCGCAGGGGCTGCACAGGAGTAGCAGGGAGTGCTGGCAATACAGGCAGCTGCACAGAGGCTGCGCCCCTCGCTGTGATGTGCAGTGCTGGCTGGAGCCATGCTCTGCACAAGTCATAGTGATATAACGATGAAGGGCCATTCAGTAAACGCTTCACTCAAGATTCAATGTTGCCTAGATACCAGCTACATTTTTAGAGTGCCATGAAAGTCTCCAGGGAACTGTGAAAACATCGGTTAAAGGGGCTCTGGTCTGGTCCTCCAAGTTGGGGGTAGTGCAGGGGGTTGGTAGCTCACCCATGTAAAAAATTTCAAATACAGTCTACAAGAGAAGAAACCAGATGGAAACAATGGTCTGAAAGCTTATGAAGTTGAAACAGGCAATGATGCATAAACCATAAAGTGAAGAAAATGATGATTATGACAAAAGGTTATTAAAAAAATCAAATTGATCTTCCACAGTGAAGCGCAGGTTCAGCTAGTTTATCCAGCAACTCCCTAACAGAACTAGCGAACTTAGCATTCACCAGGAAAGAAGTTTGATGTTAGGATCTAATCTAAGTCCTGAGTGAAGAAAGAAATTGAGGGCATTAATTGGCCTCTTTTCCATGATAGTAGTCAAGGTCCTAGTGCCTTCCACAGGGCAGAGAACAGAAGAGAAAGGTGCTGAAACAGAAAATATATTTAAGGTGGACAAGTTCTTATTGGCAGAATACTTGTAGCTATTGGAGGTGAAGGCAAATACAGATAGCTCTTGGCTTGGCTGCCCCAGGGACTCTGTTACTGAATGGAGTCTAGAAATATAGAAGTGGATGATCTGTGAGTAAAACCAGTAAAAAAAATGATAGTTTGGAGAGCTGAGACCTAGAGGGACTCAACTTCCTTTCTGGAGACATTCTCAAAAATCAAGTTTTAAAATAAATTAGTTTATCTGAAAGTAGAATCATTTTAAGGGAGGAACAATGAAACAGCATAATTTTTGTTTTTCACTCTTTGGGAGATGTTCAGAGTTGCACTCAAATTCTTCAGATATGTTTGTAATGCAGAAAATTCCACCATGTTGATAATCCTTAATTAAAGAAAATGAGAATTACCTAAAATGGACTGAGATTTCCTTGAGTAGTTAGCATACCTCAAACCATGCATCTCAAGCAAAACTAGGGTAGTGCTGAATTTAGTGATGGTAAATTCCATTTTCTGTCTAAAGTATTTCCTACTGAGATGACGTAGGAACCAAACACTGTGCTAAAATATGGGAATCCTATTTGATAAGAGATTGCTGCAATTGTATGTTTGCAATAAGCTGATGTGAGTCTGAACATATGGTTCTTACTCTGGTTGTTGCAATGCATCGCACTGGCAATCTGTATTCTTCTTCCATTTTGGTCAGAGCAATGATGGTTTCAGCAATAGCATTCTTTGTTACCCGGGACCAAGCTTCAGAGAGGTGACCCTGTTAAAAAAAAGACTATATAGTTTATCCAGCTCAATTTGTTAAGAACATAAGAACCATCATGGGTTAGACCAATGGTCCATCTGGCCAGTATCCTGTCTCCAACAATGGATGAAGTGGATGCTATAGAGGGAGAGTACTGAACTGGCTATTCTCTGGAATGATCTGTCTCCTAGTCATTATCCTCATTACCCTCTCTGACATCTACCATCATAGGTTTAGAGATGTCAAAGGAAACACGTTCAACCATTCTGTTCAACAGCTATTAATTGAGCTATAAACCATGAATTTGTTTAGTCCCTTTTTGAACATGGCTATGCTATTTGCCTCTACCATCTTCCATAACAATGGATTACGCAAGTTAACTACATGTTGCTATCATTTGCCCCACTAAAAATATCAAATAGAAATGAAACTTCAATTGCAGGGACTCAAAGGAATGTTAAGAATAAATGGAATTTAAGTACAATGCTCATCAGTAAAATCAACCTGTTCCAGCATACACTATTTGATAATGGTTATTTCCTTCTCTAGGCTTAGAAGAAAAAACATTTATTTCTCAAATACGCAATAATTACTGGCAAATGCCAAATTATCTACTATGTGTATGGACTCTTGGGATACTTTGCTACAGAATTAAGAATCCTTTTTGGTGAGGAATCAGCAGAATCCTCCACCTTAAAGCACCCAGGTACTCTACACAATGAATAGCAAAGGGCAGGTATTAAGGAAGGGATACTCAGAAACCATCTGTGTGGGAAGCCCAAAAATACAGCCAGAGATAAAATGCAGGAAAGAATACAGAGCTTCGGTTGTCACCCTGAGCTGACTGACCAGTGTTAGATGCCTGCATTTTTGGCTAAGGTACTTTCCTTTGCAATCTCCTAGAATTATTTGCTTAAGTTTCTAAAGAAAGCCATTCTCCTCTTCAAAGAAAGCAAATTGCACCATTCCATATTAGTCAATGGTTTAATAGTAAGAACAATCTTCTGGGATGCGGGGGACCTGGATAAATCCTTGAAACCAAGCAGGGATTTGAAACCACACCTCCATGTACCAAGGAAATGCCTTATATACTAGTCTGTTAGGTTTTTGGGGATTTGTTCCTCTCAACTTCACTTGTTGAAGCTGTTCTGCTTAGAATACATTATGTATTAGGAAAACAAACAGAAACTACCAATAGCCCAGCAGTTAGGGCTTTACCTGAGAAGTGGAATAAAAGCCCTCTTTGAGTACTTTATTGATATAAAGGGGAACTGCCCCCAACAGGAAGATTGAGCCAGTCACCCTGAAGTACCTTTTGTCCTCAAGGCTAGTAGGGCCGCGCAAAACTTTGATAGTCAATTCGATTCGGAGGAGATTCGGTCAGATTTGGTGGCTGAATCTCCAAGTTGAATCGGGAGACCAATTACAAGCTCCAAATTGACTCAGAAGTCTCCAAACTGATTCAGAAAAGATTCAGCCATTTTTCGAGATTCAGTCATAGACTAAACAGGCAGCAGTTCTCAAGGATGCTGGACACAGCTGCCTCCAGCTGGTAAGTCTGTTGTGATTGGGTGGGGGGCAGGGGCAGAAAAACGCTCCCACAGCAAGAGAGCAATTGGGGCTGGGACAAGCTGCCCAGCTGGGGCGGGGTGTGGGCAGAGCCATCCCTAGGGATGTGCAGGGCTTCCACCAGTACTCTTATTTCAAAAACAACCCCCCCCCCCCCAAAAAAAACAAACAAAAAACCCAGCTCCAGCTGCTCACCATGCCCACCTCCTGGGCCCTGCACACCCCTAGGGATGGCTCTGCCTGCAACCCCTGCCCCAGCTGGGCAGCTTGTTCCAGCCCCAATCCCTCCCTCGCTGTGGGAGCATTGATTTGCTCCCCCCCACGCCCTTTCCCTCTGCCCACCACAACAGACTTACCAGCTGAAGACAACCAGCTGTGTCCAGCGTCATTGAGGACTGCTGCCTGTTTAGTTTATGGCCGAATCTCCAAAGCAGCATTGAATCTTCCGATTCAGCCGACTCAAATCAGGACAGTTATTTGACTTGAATCACTGTCCCTCCGAATCGGTCGAATCTGAATCCAAAGCAAATACTTGCCGCTTTGCACAGGCCTAATGGTTACGGCATTTGCCTGGGATATGAGTGAGATTTTCAAACTCCTGCTCTAGAGTAGGTATTTTGACCTAGGTCTCCTGTACCCCAGGTGAGTGTCCCAAGTGTGAGGCAAAACTGGGTGATGGGCCATGGCACACAGATTAGAGCCACCCTAACCAGCTCTTTTTAGTGAGGTTGGCATCAGGCTAAGTATGCTCAGAATATGCTACAAGATTTTGTCCTGCTAGAGCTATGTGAGGGAGAGCCTAATTTGTAATTCTTGCTGTGAAGATTTGGGGATAGTGCTCCTAATGATTCATTAACTATGAAGGAACAGCCAAGGGCAGAAGCAGGACACATATAACTCTTGTTGATTTTAAGTTCCTGCTCTAAACTGTGGAGGTACCAGTATTTCTCCCTGAAAGCAAGATTTTCTTTCGACTTGGGAAAAAAAAATATAGCGCCTTCATACTAAATAGATTATTTTTCCCTGCTATACATTTCCCCCAAACTCAGCCAGTAAATACTTGGCATAGAAAATTTTGTTCCAAAAATAGTTAAGCTTTGCAGTTATAAACCAGGGGTGTCAAAACACATCAGTGCTCCCAGGTTAGTTCCAGACCACAAGGCTCCCTGGAGTCCAGACCCAGTAACAGCAGAGGGTGCAGGGGCCAATATACCTGCTGCTTGACCCCACTGCGGAAAACGTGTCCCCAGCAGGGCTCCATAGCTGGGAATTTGATGGTAGACCCCAGCCCTGCTCACCCTACACCTGAATTCCCAACCCCTCTGGGGGCCTCTCAAACTGCATCAAAAGGCTCTATGGACTGGATTGGGCCCACAGCTATGTCTGCCATCTCTGTTATAAAGAAAATCAGAATTAAAAATTAGAACTGATAAGAAATCTTGGACCATCTAAATGACTGCAGCACTACCAGCTCCACCTCTGCCAATGTTATTTGAATGTACATTTTCATGTTTGTAATGTGAAACATTCAGAAAGTTAAAATTCAGAGTGAAGGCCATAAAGTGTAGGAAATTTGACTATTTAGCTCTGAACAACTATGACTTTTGCTGAGTGCAAACAGAGTTCTGAGCACTAAACATTCCTTAAAATTAGGTTTCGAGTGTCTAATTTAGTCACTCAGTAAAAGAAAAATACATTAGTGGCTACTTCTGAAAAATGAGTCCAAGTGACTCATCCAACATCATATGGATAGCATGTAGCAAAGACAGAGATAGAACCCAGTTCTTATGGATTCCTATTCAGTGTTTTAACTAAAAAAAAGAGAGACCTTTTCTGAACTCCCTACCCAATTTACAGTTTCAAACTACCAAATGAAGCAAAGCTCCTGTGCGAAAGGGAAAAGAAAAACAAACAGTTCAACAAATCAGAAGCATTTCAATATCAAACACTTAGAGAATGGAAGCTTACTGCTGCCATGTCCTTAATCAGTTTAATAATGATTTCTGATATCTGTGTAGGAGTTGAGCCCTTCATCCACCAATGGCTTTCACCTCGCCGAATATAGCTGTAGACAGATAATAAATAAGACCAATTAAATTAATAAAGGCAATCCACTGGTAGATTCCAAAAATATCCAAAGTGATATTACAAGTGTTCAGTGCCTGTGTTTCAAATCAATATAATACTACTTGATAATGAAACTAGTTTTAAAAGCAATGCACAACTATTTATTTTCAGATTATAAAAGGGAGAGATAAAGAGTGCATCTTACTTTAAATTCTCTGACTTGTCTGTATGTTCAGCTTGACAAAATACAGTTTTTACCAACCTGGAATTGAAAATCATTGGAAGTGTTACTGTAGTAACTCCTTTGCCTGCAGCAGTGCCAGCTGTTCCAGTTATTGTGGTTCCTTTGGCCTTTAGCTGTACAGTGAGTGCTTTGGCAATACATCCCAGGAACATGTCCAAGATGCCCAATTTATTCCAATCTCCTTTTTCTGTTGAGTGAATGATATCACTGATATCTGCTGGTGGCAGGGATTTTACTCCTATGATGCTAGCCAACCGACTAGGGGTCACTTCAGGCAAAACACGGCGTAGTAATGATGTTACCTAACAGAACAACAAGAGCAACACAAAACCAAATGAGAAAGCTGAGATATTCCAAAATAAATTTTTTAGAAAAGCTTTAATTTATGAGTGTTTCAGTATGTTATTTCCATAATTTACTTTCTATGTAAAAATGTACCTCTCAGGAATTTTGTAACATTTGCAGAATCCTTTGAAATGTCATGTAAAGTGCACAATTATGCCTAGGCAGACAAGGTTCTTTGGGTAAATCTGATATCTGTTATTAGACAATTCAAATAGTTGGAAAAATTATTCTTAGCAACCTTTCAGGTATAAATATTCTTCACCAGGCTGAGGAAGTATTTGCAGTTGGTATGTGCTCTTCCTGGATGGAATGAATAGTAAAGAAGACAGAGGCTGGTATGCATGCAAGAAAGCCAGTCAGTGAAGACGTAAATTGACGAGTCAGTGGGTGAGAGACAGGGGGGAGGGGGAAAGCGGGATGAATAGAGCTGGCAAATAGTAGAGAGGTACCTGGGGAGTCAGATGTCAGGCAAGTTATAAAGTGGCAATTATGCTTAGTGTATTTGTTGCAGAGGCTGGGTTGCTTGAGCCTAGGGTCCACATTGGCAATACCACGGTTTTAATGGATTTGGCAGAGTTAGTGGTGGTGGCCAAAACAGACACCTCTGGTCTTGCAGAGACCTCTGTACAGAGGGTCTTGGTACAACTCAGGATGAACCTATTCACTTGGATACTGGTACCCAGTGGCCAATACTGTGCTCCCTCAAACCACCATGTCATCTTGTTGCAGCAGCGAAGAAGCAATTAAGACTTCATTTAAAAAAACAAACTTGCATGTTATTTACCTTCAGATTAGTGAGATTCAGTAATCTACTGGATACTTTGAAAAGGAAGGTGCGATTGACTAAGTACTGTAAAGGTCAGGTGTTGGCTTGAAGGAGCTCTATACAACTTTCCAGGTTGGATGGGGAGGAAGCCAGCAGGGGAAATACACCTTAGTTTGAGATGGGCTAAGTCAAGTATGACAGATGGGCCATATCCGGGCCATGGTGCCGTATATTTGGCCCATGTGTCTCTGACTGACTCGGTCTGGTGTGCAATCTGCACCAGGTACTGCAGGTGCTGTTTGTGGCACAGAGGGCCGGTCAAGGGGTCACACTGTATGCGGTGCCCTGCCAGACCAGCCCTACACACTGGCTGACATACATAGATGGTCTAGCGTACAGGTAAGCAACCTTTTTTGGTCGGAGTGCCGAAAAAACCACAATGTCTATCTTGGAAGGTGCCAGAGTGCCAACATGCTGGAGCCCGGAGCAGCTGTTTGCAGCCTCCTGGCTGCAGCCGGCCCATGGAGCCCCATCTGCTTGCAGCAGGTCTTGCAGCCTCCCAGCCGCCTGCTGAGAGCAGCCTGGGCTCTGCGGCTGGCAGCAGCTGCTTAGAGCCTGGGCTGGCGGTGGTGTGCCGAGCAAAATGGTCTTGCGTGCCATGCTTGGCACACCACCAAGCCACTGTGCAGGGGCTAATCCAGTAGGGTGCTGCATGCAGCACGAACCCTGTGCCAGCCCCCTAGGGAGGCCACAGGTGGTACCTGCAGCACTGGGTCTAGCTTGCGCACTGCTTGCAATGCAAATCCCAGAGCAGACCTGGCATGTGCTGCCCACAGCACAGGGGTTCAGCATGGAGAGCATGCTGCATGTGGTGCCCCACACCAAACTGGCCCTCTGTGCTGTCTCTGGCATGGCTCAATCCAGTCCAGGGGGCCAGATGAGTTTGACGCTCCTGATTTAGGGGTGAAACATTCTAAGCGTGCAGAAAAGATACCTGCCCAGCAAAAAGTAAAAATATACAAAGAATGAGAAAGGAAGACTCCCAGAAAGCTAGCAACAATCTAGGGTACAAATAGGCAGCAACTAGCTGTTCAAATTTTGAAAATGAGTTGGTGAAAAACAGGCATATTAAGAAAACATCTTGGACATTAGAAACTGTTTTCAAGCCATGGACAAAGAGAAAAATCTGAGTTGGATATTATTAGCCAAAAGTCTCTGCATTTGTCAATGGGTGTGTAAGCCCCTACAGTAGACTATATGTATGAAATAGCACTTGAACAATTAAAAAAGATTTGCTGAAAAAAATTACTTTTCATTACCTCTGCATACCTCATGTCTTTTGCATACTGGTGCTGCTCTCTCAGGGCCTTTATACACATGTTCTAGCAGTGGGTGTGGGGGTGAGGGGAGAAGTGGAGGCGTTTTAATTAGAGGAGCTTAGAGCTGCTCTAAGTGAAGTGCCCGGAGCATCGTGTGTATCAGCATTCCCAAGCTAAAAAATAGTGGTGGGGGCACTTAAACTAAATTTTGTGAACGAGCTTTAGTTAAAGTGCCCCGCCACCATTTTTCAGCTGGACTGTGGTAATTATTATGCTTCAGCAGACTGTGATGCACTGTAATTTACAGCATGTAGAAGAAGCTTCACTGCATGTGTATAGGTGCCCTCAGGGTCCATATCTAGACCACTAGACAAATCACTCAAAACCCTAAACTTGAATGCAATACTAGGTTGAATAGTTAAATAAAAATATATTGGTCCAGCAATGTTAATTTGGCCAAGATGAACACAAGAGGTATTTCTATTTTTCTGTATAAATGAATAATTTAATATATTTTAGCTTGCATTTTATAATCTTTAATATTACTTTTGGAACCGTAACACCCCTCCATTTCCTGAACTCCTACATTTAAACTGGGCAGCCTTACACATTGCAATGTACTAATGTTTTCCTTTTAAACAGAAAAAAAATATTGTCTGTTCTTAAGAATATTAGATACTAAATAACTGAAATTCTAAGTAGTGTTAAGAATGAAGCACACATTTATTTATCCTATGATAGCTGCTTCTTTGTGGAAATGATTGGAGGTGGGGAGGGGATGGCAGGGCAGGGGTAAAAAAGTTTGCAATTTTCCTGATGCTATAATTGCACAAAGGAGCAAAAACAGGTACGGAACTTCAAGACTGTCTGATAACACCTACATAGGAATGATGTGAAAAGGAAGGTATTTATTATAATCTGCTAAAGTCATAAGAATGTCAACCAAACATGCTCAGAAATGACTGGGCAAGCTCACAAGTAGCCTTTTCCAAACCTAGCAAAGGCACAGTTTTCACAACTACTCTCATGCAAAAATCTCAGCTTTCAAACTTGAGCCATGGCTAAAGTAGTAAAGTTAGATTTTTTTTTTTAATGGCAAAGGTAATGGTTTTCATATTTTGCAAAGAAAAGTCTCTGGTTCTGGAATAAAGAATACACACATTCAGAGAAGTAAAGCAGACAAATGAAATAGGTTGTTTTTTTTAAACGGATCCCTCTTTTTGTTATGTTCAAAAACAAGAGCAGATTATGGCACAACCACTGTGGGGTCTATGCCTATTTCAGGATTTGAGCATTTGTCTTAAAAAATTAAGAGCTCTTATGCTTCTGAAGAAAAAAGTTTCAAAACCTGGAGTCCAGGATAAATTAGCCTGTTATTCCTATCTTTCTAGGAGAGCCTGAAAGGAGTATCAGCGGAATGCAGTCACATATTGGATAGAAGTGGTGATGCAGGGATTACATTATGGAGGTACAGCCAGAGGTGCAGAAAATGAGGTCCCCATAAATAGCATCTCAAATTCTCTTAATACATGCTGACTCTCAGTTTTAATGTTTAATTGAGCTGGTGCTTGTTAGAATTTGCCAATTCATTTGAGACGTTTCTTTAGGTTACATTTCACTTCTCTTTTGTCATTTGCGTATATTTCCCTGTGTCACTTCATGGATAAGGTGTCATTTTCACAATATAAATAGTAAAATAATAGAAATGGTGGAAATGAATCCTTCTTCAAAGAAAAGGTTGTGTTAAATTAACATATACTCATTTTTTTAATTTAAAAGAAGGATTATCTTCTCCTCTGTGAGCCTCTCATGTAGCAAAGTATAGGCTGCTCCAACTCCTGGTACCATCAGTGGAGAATTCCCCACAGTGCAGCCTTTCAACAAGACAACTTACATTGCCTTCAATGGCTCTCATCAGAAACTGTCAGGGTGAGAAAGGAATGGCTGCAGAGCAAGAGAAAAGCTGGGAACAGGTATGTACTTGGAAGTATTCCAAAATCTACAGTGCTACAAATTTGGTACTCTGTAGACACACGCCCCTCCTGAAGCACTTAAAAATGGGGCCATGAAAATAGGCAGCAGCACTCTTCTCCAAGGCCCTGAGTTGTAGAAAAAGAATCTCCACATGCCCCATAGCCTCTGGAAGCTCCAGAGTGCTTCAAATAGCATGTCTGCTGAGGGCCTAAAAATGAGATTACTATTCAGAAGCAGCCAGAGAGAAGCTTCTGACTAGTTTAGATTTACGAGGTGTAAACTGATTTTAAAGCCACAGGAATTGTATGACAAGGTTCTTTGCATAGATGTGATATCTTTTATTAGATCAACTAAATAGTTGGAAAAATTGTTCTTTGCAAGCTTTCGGGCACAAGTACCCTTCTTCAGGCATAGAAAGAATATTTCCAACTATTTAGTTGGTCTAATAAAATATATCACATTTACCCAAAGAACCTTGTCTGCCTATGTCCTTAGACCAACACAGCTACAACCAACAACCCTAAAGGAATGGTGTGTCAATTACTATGAATATTAAAACAATAACACTTCCAAGATGTGTCAATTCTCATAGAAGTTTTTTTTGCTCCCAGAAAATATTTAGTTTTTAAAAAGTGTAATAAAATAGTGGGGTATTTTTAAAATCCTTGTACATATATTATTTCGCTGTCAATAAAGCTGACAACTGGAAATACAGATTTTGTTGTAAATTCTTTTTCTGTATTACCATTACTTATTTAAACATGCTCTTCCATTTGGACCAACTAAAACTGTTCGCAGGCCTGTGAAATTGGAGAAGAGAAAAATTTCCAAGGGTAACAGACAAGCAAATCACAGAAGAAAAGACTGCTTGGTGAGTGGAAGGATCAAGACTTCTGAAAATGGAAGAAGGTCATTATTACTTGTAGTGTGAAAAAAAAGACTATCCAGAGTCAGGTAGATTTGAAAGCTTTTCTAAGTCTACACCATCTTTTATTGGACCAACTGTATGGATATCACCCCCAAACATCCTTGCCCCTCTGATGTTTATATTTTTAAAAAAATGAAAACCAGAAACAAGAAATATAGCTACATTCCATTAAAAAAAAAAAATCAGTTCATACACGTTCTATACCACCAAACCTACGATGATCTAAACCTCTAGTAGAAGGCTTTTGTGATAAGCACTGCAACAAATAAAGAGCAGTTACACTCACCTGCCTTTGCACCCTGGGAGAGGCAGTATGTAGGAGCGAGAAGAGATCCTGAAGCAGAGTCAGCTGCTGAGCCAGGTACTGACGACCTACATTAGAACCACTCAGTGCTAAAACCATGGACAGTAGCTCAAAGCAGTAAGCATCAGAGGATGCATCTTCATCATTAGGCTGAGAGTTGGCATTCTCCTTGCTAGAGATGGCATGCTCCCACTCCTCACGCACGCGGGTTGCTTCCATTCGGATTGCCTGGACTATGTGAGCACACACCTAATCAAGTAGAAGCCACACATAATAATGTATTAAAATGTGATCTTTTTTATGTTTTAAAACACTTAACACCTTCAAGATTGTGTCAAATAAGCACAGGAAATTTAACTGAATTTTTTTATATTATTGCCCAACATATATACAAATAAAGGACAAAGGTTTAGTGTGAGCGCCAAACATAAGGATGCTTAAATTTAATGAAAATCAGGGATAAGGCATACAATTACACATCTTTAAAAAAATATGTCATATATATCTTATGCTACCCAGCACATGGTGATCTAACTTTTAGCAGAATTATATGCGTTATATACTTCTGAAACTACTAAAAAATTTTGTATTTCATTTGCCTAGGCTTTTATGTGTTTGGATCTAAAACCTCAGATCCAAACCATCATGAATGTTGTAAGTAGAAATAATTTCAGAGTCCAGACCCTCATTTTCCTGATGATTGGTATCTATGATCTACAAAACCAAATAGGTTTTGGTGTCAAGGAGGGTTAAAAAAAAAAGGACCCTCCTTGACACCAGAGAGAGAGAAAGAGAGAGAGAGTGTGTACATGTACAAGGATCTAAACTTTGCGGCTGTCTCATATGAAACAGTGATACAGTAAACACTAATTAGCACTGCTTGTAATTCATTTAAATATTATTTTACATGAAGATCCATAAATATTAAATCCAGTTAACACATATATAAACATGATTTATAAGAAAACAAAACCCTGACTGCAGCAACTCTGTCAAACAACATGTCAAATCAATTTTGTATTTCCTGGAAAATAGCAAAATGACAACATAAGGTGAACACTTTAATACCGTAGGAACTTTGCTGAAAACAAACCTGCTTTTGTAAATTTGTCAATTTGCTTCTGCTGAATATGATCCCCACCATGTGTTCTTTAAGGTCTGCATCTGATGTTGCCTTTAGAAAAAACATAAATACCATTAGATAAAGATTTTAAAATCATTTCTGCACTGCTGTAGAAACAGAGATGAGAGATGGAATATAAACCTATTTTATATTAAAAGTGTGCACGTTTTGTTGTAATGTATTTGTATAAGATAAACCGAGACATGTAAAGCATGTTTATACCTTTTTCTTAATATACATGCAAGGGATAAAGTTTAGAGTACAAATATTCAAGTATTTAGCCAGCAAACTCAAGCAAATAAAAATCAGTCTTCCAAGATCCATTCTGGTGAATTCAGCTTTCCACCTCACGCTAAAGCGAATGATCTATTTAGATTAAGTGAATTCATACTAATTAATTTTCCAGTGCTGGTACATTTTAAATTAAATGCATCTTCCTAGGGAACAGACTCAATCAGATTAAATATTATGCATTTTATAACATGTAACTTTAAATGACAGAGGCAACAAAACTCAGACATCTCTTTCAAGATTCACTATAACCATCAGGACTGGATAATTAATCATTGTATGACAATTCAATATTATTTTCTTTAAAAAGCTTGATTACTTTCCAACATTAGCATTGAATTCTTCTCTCTTTCAAATACTCATTGACCTAACTAGACTTGTGAAATATAATGAACTGATCCTGCTGGAAACTGAAGCCATTTATCCAAATTGGTTTCTCACCATGGCTTCCCAAAAGTCATTCCCATAATGACTCCTCCATGAAACGCTTATAGTTCTGATTTGTCTATTAATAAAAATGAAAATGATAAAAACCACCTTTTAAAAACAGGTATGGACAGTAGGATGCTTTGGTGTGAAGCCTATCTATGGCAAAAAGATGCATGATGATGTAGCTAAAATAACTGCTGAAAAACGTCTTGGATAACTTTTTCAGTATATAATAATTATAGAATACAAATAAATACATTGTGTACTTTTTCTTCTCCTTCTGGGGAAGACAACAGTGCTTTTTCTTCTTGTTCCGGGGTTGGCTCAGCGTCTCCAGAGATGAGTTTTCCGAACACCTGTCAGAAATCACAAAGATTAAATTTACAAAGGTCAAAATAGGCTTGGGTGGACAATTTTTTTGATAATACATTAGAGAAGTTTATGTAGTTACTCTTTAAAGTCTGCTAGTCTGCTGGGTCTAATCTTTTTTTTTCCTATAATGACACCTATTACCTCTAAACATGAAGGCAATTCAAAATACCTACATTTTTATTCAATTAATATGTAACTCGGTCAAGATTCTGATTAGGGTTTCTAAGTTGGGCACACTATTAAAATAATAGACAATTCCTGCCTGAATGAGCTTACAATCTAAGATGACAAAGCAAGCAAAAGGTAGGGGAAAGAGGTGAATCAGACTTTAAAAATATCAGAGGATGCTAAAAGAGTTAGTAGGCAGAACACAAGGAGAGTGACAATGAGAAGCAAGATGTAAAAACATGGGGAGGTACTGGAAAGCAGTATGAATCCTTGGTATAATCAGAGAAAGATGGGAAGAGCTAATCAACTGACACATTTGTAAGTAATTTTACAACAAAACACTAAAATGCCAGAAATAGCTTTACTTCACCAATTATTTTAACCACTGCAATTTTCCTTTAACTTCTTTTCTGGCAGAGCTACTTATCACTTGACCATCACCAGACAAAAAGGGGAAAACATAGATATCTCTCTTTTAAAAGGATCACGTCACCAAATCTTTGTAGTTTTCATATGAACTGTTGGTTAGTGATGTGATTAAGTACAATGTCCCACCTGGGATGTAATAAGTCGGAACACTCGTAGCGTCTCAGATTCACAGTTTCTTTGCTGAGCTACACTTGCAGAGATTTGGCCTGCGATTTTAATGCTTTCACCATCTTTCCATCCCAGAACTTTCACTTGTCGGACTCTTAGTGTGTTCTCTGGACCCTTCAATTCGATTTTAATGATGTGATTATCTCCACCAGGAAGTTCACTTGTTACCCAACCAATGTGTCTCGAATCCAAGTCAACCTGGCAAATGGGAACATAAAGATTTAATTCTGTAACAAAATAAGGCTGAGAGAGTCAAATGCACCTGGTGGGTTATTGCTAAAAAATAAGCGAGTGATAGCCAACAGTCCATGTGAAACAATAAGGTAACTCCTATTACAACAACCACCAATCCTTCACAACTTAAGACTGCAGCACCTTGGTTGAGAATCACTAGTTTAGGCTAATGCACAAAACCTCATCATGTGACATCTTTCATAAACTGATCAAAACTCAGTCTTAAAACTAGCTTTTTTCTTTTGCTTTCACAACTGCTAGAAGGCTATCTAGAACCTCACTACTCTGATAGTTAGAAATCTCCTCCTATATTCCAGTCTTAAATTTCCTGGTGGCAAGGCTATACTTATTTGTTCTTGTACTAACATTGTCTTGTTGCTTAAATCACTCTTATTCCTCCTTGTTGCTTACTCCATGATGTATTTATACAGATAAATTCTATCCTTCATTCTGCTGGTCATAATAAACAAGTTCTTTCAGCCTCCAATTTTCCCTAAACATATTAGCAGCCCTTCACTGCAGCTGTTTCTGCTTGAATTAATTCTTCTTGAATGTGGGTGACCAGATTAGTAGACAGCATTCCAAATGAGGTTTCACCAGTGCTTTCTAAAACAGCATTAATACTACCCTCATTTATTAGAAATATCAATCCGATGCAAATGTGAACCTACAATGTCTTTTTCAAAGATACATCAAAGATGCAAGTTCCATATTTGCCTAATACACCTTGTCTCCTCTCCTCTTCCAACAATAAATAGTATTTCTCTTTTTCTGTGTTCAACTGACAATTTCTACTAGTTTATAGTAGAAATTGTTACTAGTCCTTAGGTGGATGATTTAATTCATTTCCATTTCTATTAATGCATCTTTCAAGGTCATACCATGCTTCCTTTACACTACAAGAATTCTTCTTGTTATTAAAATATCTCAATGTTGTGTTAACAGCAAATTTCTTTAGCATATTCCTAACTGATCCCAAGACCTGCAAGCTGGGAACCCCTGGATCAAAGTCTCCTCAGCTGACAAGCCTCCTGTCCACACAGTGGGAGCCGGTGCAGGGGGAGCCTGGGATTGCGATCCTGGATTCCCTATACACCAGCAATAAGGTGTGAAAAGATCTGATGCTGGATCCCACAATCATGCCTCCTGCCATGCACATACTGCATGGCAGGAGGGGCAATTGTGTGGATCACACATACATCCTATCACTTCTTTACCTGTATGCCTAGAGGTGCCTTTATAGGAACAACTGTAAACTACTCCCTCAAACAGGCTTGGTCTAAGCAGGCACCAGATTATTAACACTGCGTCAAGGCATGATATTTTTACATGAAGCAACAGATAAAATTATTTACCTGCTTTATTCTGCAAAGATCTTCTACTGCCTTACCAGTGAGGAAAGTCATTGAAGTCACTTTGTTCTGCAACAGACAAGCAAAACAAAAAAAAGATAAGTAACTTCATTATGAAGCCAAGTAGCAGCATGGTAACTTCTTCCATATTAACATTACGTGATTATCTTTTTAGACAGAGGAGGGTGTGCATGCCTACATGGAATTAATGAAGCTGTACATTTCATGTTTTAAAAGAAAAATATTGTTCAAGGCAGCATAAAGGTTTTGTTACGTAAAAAATACAAACAAGAAACATACATACATACAATGAAAAAAGTTTTATTTATATTGAAAACCGGATAAGGAGCAGAAAATTCTCTCATTTCATCAAACTGAGGTGGCTATAAAGATAGATGTGAAACACTGCAGACTTACAGATCTAGCAGTATAGCTACATATACTTCATGTAAGAGCCCACTACAAAGCTGTTAAATTCTGAGTATACTGGACCTACTTTGCAGCTTCAGGTTTAATTAAAAGCCTTAACTTTTAACAAACAGGATCAGCATTCCTTGTTATTTAGTTTTATATTAAATTCAATATATTTTATACTTCCCCAGCATTTGAACAGTCTGCGTTTTACAGTCAATGTACTATTGCATCTCAGAAGCTGTTAGAAGGAAATAAAGAAATTCTGGTGGCAAAGGGGAAGTATATATGGAAGTCTCTGTGGTACTTGGAGGCATGGGAAACAATTTAGGACTGTGGAATAAACTCTTCAATTATATGTTTATACACAAGGATTAACAGAGGAACAATTCTGTGGACATTTACATTTTCATGATTGTGTTTCACAGTTAATATACCACTTGGAATAAAGCAATGGGCACCTTCAATTTTCCTTTCATGCTTTGTATAGCCTGCAAGTTTCAATGAATCAATTTCCATCACGTTTATGTTAAGAAGCTTTTCTAATCCATGAGGATTAGAAAATTTTTAAAAATAAGGTTCAGAATGCTGAAACAAATTCAACAAGAAAATGGGGAAATAGTCTGTGGCTGAAGAATACACAGAGTACCATGAGTTTTAAGATAAGCAAATTGGTATTTCCTCTTACCCCAAGATCTCGGGAGTTGTCTACATGAACACATACATAACGAGCATTGATTCCTTTTACACAATTAATTGTGATGTTTTTAGTTTTGTTTTTATCTTCATCTCCTGACTCCCAGAAGGTTTCTGTAGACCCATCTGTCAAACTGCCAATCATCGCAGGTCGGCTTGATGTTTTGATATCAACAATGCCGGTTAGATCTTTCAGACAAACTACTATACACAACTCCTGTAAAACAAACAAGATTTAAAGTATCTTAGAAAAGTAGTTCAAATAAAAACAAACATCTTACACACCTATTTGTTTTTTTACAGGACTAACAGGAATAAATTCTCTAAATTAAAAGAAGAAACATGTGCAATGATGCTGAATCACCCAATTACAGTTCCTACTTGACGGAGTTACAGCCATGAAGCAAAATATATGAAAATTAAAGTCAGTAGCTACAATGTATTAAAAAAAAAAAAAAAAAAAAAAAAAATCAGAAATAATGCATGATTTCTTTTCTGTTACTCAATTCTCTTCTCTTGTCTTAGAGATGCTCATTAAAAAAGTAGCAATATGTGTCTTCAAAAAAACAAAAGGAGTAAGAAAGGTGTTGCAAGGACAGAAGACTGGAAATAAGTAGCAGCAACACAGAAGAATATGAATTTTAGAAACTTTTTTTTTAAATAATTTAAATTCAACTTAGAAAGGTTCTCCTACATGCCCCTGTAAAACTACGACAGAAAAGAGTGCTGGCCAATATTTCAAATTTTGGATTGGAATGTGGACTTAGTTTAAGCGATAGTTGGATGTCAACATCAAAATACCTTAATCTAAATATCAGGAAGAGAGGACTGGAAAATGAAGGCATCTATACATGCAAATAATTTTTTTTTTAAACAACATTTTTATATTTTCAGTACTTTCATAAATACATATTTAATAAAATATCAGATGAGTAAGAACTGGAAAGCTGCAGTTTGATTAGGAGTGGAGCTTATCTACTGTTTTAGACTGATCTTCTACTTTTGCTATTTAGTGATGTAAGACTTACTTGATTCATGGCTTCAAAACCAGACTGTATACTAATACTAAAGCTCTCCTCACTATCACCATCATCAGATTTGGACAAAATGTTGTTAATGTGATGAAAGACATTGCTCTGATGTAGGAACTGGTGGTCAGATTGCTTGAATTTGAGGCTCCAGCATCTGAAAAACAAATTGGAAGTAACATTACTAAGTGTATTTTGAATTTGAAAATAATATTACTGTTGCTGGCAAGAGTATGTTAAATAGCTTTATAAAACATCTTGAGACATCTTGAGACTCAGGATCAGAATTATATTGTCTATTATTTTGAGAAAAATCAGGAAGTAACATCCCTTAGCATTGCAGAAGTTAAAAGCAGGAATACTTGTGAAAGTTATTTTTATAAGTGTGGCAATAATAATAATTCAACATATTCCTTTATGGTGATTGCAGTAATGAGCAAGTGAATACAGAAAGTTTTGATATTCAACTATATTAGATATGTTAAAGAATTCTTGAATACCATTTTATTGTTAAAGTGATGCATGTAGTATAGAATGTAAAAGGAAAAAATACTGTTTTATTTTCACATGCTCTCCAATGCAACACACTGTTTTTGGGAGGGCAGAACGAAGAAATTTTTTTTCTTTTAGTGCTATTGCTACATTCAGCAAGGATAGAGCCTAATCTTCAGCTTGCTCCTTTTCCTGCTCGGACAAAGCCCAGGTACAGACATGACACTTTTACCAGTATAAGCGACTAGAAACCCGTCTTTACCCATAACAGAATGGAAGGCTGGCACACAAAACTGGTCTATATCCATAACAGAACGGAAGTTCAGCATACATATACTGGCTTAAAAATGGTGGAACCTGGTCTAAGATTTGCCCCTTCTCCTCCCCACTGAAGGTTGAACATGTGCTTTGTTTGCTACTGATCTGAAGTACACTGCTTACAGAAAACAACAGAACTTAGACTGATTTTTGCTTTGGGCTTTTTGAGTGTACCTAGTCAAAAAGCTATAGTTTTAACCCTTTCATAGCTGAATTACCAGAAGATCTTTGCTGTTCTGCCAAAAGGTAAAACCATAGCCACTGTTGAAAACTGGACTCTGTGGGCAGATCTACGATTTTGAAAAGAACTAAAAAGAAGTGTGAATTTCACAATCTGAAGGCTGTAAAATTGTGGAAAGAGAGAGACCAGGAATAGCTAACTGGCAAATTCTTCAGCCAAATTGCTGATGGAAGTATAGCTTGATTAGAAGAAAATCAAGACCACTAAAACACCTGTTGAGTGAAGAATAATTAGCAGGAACAAAGCAGATTCCAATAAGCCATGATGTTAATTAGCTACCTCAGAGCTGTCTGAATAGAAATGACACTGTTGCTATTCTGGGCAGAAAATCAGCTTCCCCGTTTAAGACATATACCCTAAATCTGGAAAGCTAATTTTGCAGGCAAAGGTGTATGTGTATATGTGACATCTTACTTTTAATCTTTAAAGTAGCATACTCAAGTGTTTCAGACTTCTAAAATACACTGAGAATCTTCTAATAAAATTAGCTAATAAAACATGCTGATGTATTTTGAGCCTTTCACATTTCTGACTCCCCCATTTTTGTACTTACCTTAAGGCCATTTGCTGTAATGCACTACCACTGGGAAGAGACATCATAAGATCAGAGATGGTCTGAAGCAAACGATGGAAAGTATGGGGCAATGGATGAGCTGCTTCACCAGCAATCACTATATCTGACAGTGGATGCTCACATACTCTTGTATCTTTCTCCTAAGATAGAAAGGAAAATGTATTATGACTACTTAAAAACAAACAAACAAACAAAAAAGATGCTTTCATGAAAATAGACCATTGCATTGCTGCAGACAAAGTCGCTTGCAATATTTGGTTTGGGCATAACTGCAACGTTCCTGGAATATGATTCTTGATGTAAATCTTGATATAAGTTTTACCATAGAATTTCCAAGAGTTTTCAATTAAAAATGTCATACATGAATATTTTAAGAAACTCAATATGATAATTCTAATGATGTGACAGATATAAAATAGTACCACAGATCATTTCTTAAAATTAAAAACTTTCATGAATGCATTCATCACTACATTTTTTTAAGTGAAAAGTTCATAATTTTACAAGTAGGAAGCATTTTACCATCTGAATCGCTAACCCCAGGCTCCTGCCATTGTTTGAGTGAATTTGCATCTCTCAGAGCAAAGGAACACAGATACCTCATCACTTAAACTCCTGCCCAGCAGAACTTTCCATCTTTCCATTCTTCTGTGAAATATGAAACATCATAACCTGAAGAAAATATGCCTCTACCAGCTCACCACCAGACTTTGTGGTAAAAAGACTGTTTCAACTCTTTTCTGTGTCTAACTTGGACAAAATGAACTTTTCCAAGCAGGAGATTTTACCACGCCTTCAGCTCTCCTGTGAAATATGAATTTTCATTTCTACTTAGGATAACTTTTACAATCTCTGCTCTCTCCTATGCCAAATGAAGGGTGTGTGCGCCTAAAAGCTTGCAGATAAATACAATAATTTGTTTGCAAATATCTAGTTAGTCTAATAAAAGATACCACATCTTTTACAAGTTTTGATTTCTTTCATCACTACATTTTATGTCAGTCTGAAGCAGAAAAAGCAATCAGAACATAAATCAGTTAAGTAGACTTTATAGCTGTTTTGTTTCATCCGAACAGTAGAGATGAACTAGAATATACACCTCTTCCAACTTGTCCTTCCCTCTTGCAGCTGTTCACAACCCCATGAACACAATACCCCCATCACCTCACACCCTTATTTTCCATGTCCCACCCCCACCTATGCCTCAATTTGCTACCACTCAACCAGCCTCTTCATTTTCCTGTATGCATGTAGTATCACCTTCACTCCTTCACCCATATTCCTCTGTAGAGGCACTTTTCCATTTCTTCCTTGCCACCCTGTTCAGTGTACCTAGTACAAAATGTAGCTTTAGAAAATGGAAAAAAAAGAAATTACCTTTTTTGCCATTGTTCATATTTGCCAGTAGAGACTGATGCAGTTTGTTCTCTGAGAAACCCTTAAAAACAGCTCATTTCAAAATGACCACCATTTTCAATTGTTCTCAATGGAAATCAGGTCACAGATTGTTGCCCTCTTAAATGATCGCCAACTCCAATTGTTCCCCATGAGTACAAAGGTGGGAAGACAGTGGCTACCTGTGAAGCCAGGACTTGGAAAGGAACACAGAGCCTAATCTAAATTTTCAAAAAGTTGCCAGTAAAATTATATTGTTTAGGACTGAGATTGCTCCCCCCATTCCCAACAGTTGTAGTGGCAAAAGCCCCATGAAAATCAGTTATAGAAGTATAAAAAGATGCTTTATAAAATACTGTTTTATTCTGATTCTTGCATTATCAGAAGCATTTCTATATTGGTATAACTAAATCCATTTTAAAGGGTTTTGCTACTGTCCACAACAGCACTATGTCTAGTACAGTTAAATGTCATTACTTCCATTGATAACAGTGGGAGGTTTCATAAAATAGCCACCTGAGGTCAGCCTAGGACTTCAATTCAATTCACAGAAACTGGAAATGACAACCATTTTGAAATAGGACAGTTTTTTATGGAATTCTCCCTAGAAGGTAATAAATACATCAGTCTCTGCTAGTAAAAAACCCTGCTAAGAATATCAGAAAATACTGATTAAAAAAAAGATTGTTTTAATTTCTAAGAGCAGAAGTACCCAGTGCATAGTATTTCAATTACTTTTTAAAATATCTGGGAGGTTCTGAATGTCTAATTAATCTGATACGGTTATTTAAGTAATAGAAAATGCTTAACGTTAGAACTCAGTTTTTTTAAGGATTACTTTAAAATCACTCTATTGACTTGCACACTACATGCACCTGTCCCAAAATAATAATTAGCCTTCCAAAACTGGAGCGCATGTCTTAAGCAGAGGAAGCAGATTCTCTGCCTAGAACAGATGAACAGAGACACTGTAAGATAGCTTTTTGTTTCTTGTCTCTCCAGCAGGAACAGCGAGGCAGGTGCAGTCAACAGCCCTTTGATTCCTGCTCCACCCAAAGTTTAAAACCAACTGCACTGCAGCAGCAATGCCTCGTCTATTTAGGCAGACTAAAAGGAGTCAATTTAATTCATGGCTTGTTATAATCTACCTGATTCCTGATAACTGCTTTTCACTCCACAGATGTCAACAAGTCTCCTTTTAATGGCCTCGATGTTCCATTAATCAAGCTATATTTTTCTTCAGCAACTTCACTGCCTGTTAGCTACTCCTGGTCTGTCTTCCATTTCACAGCCCTGCAAACTGTATTTAGCTCTCTTCAAAATCCTAGATCTGCCCATGGAGTCCAGTCTTCCGCAGCAGCTACAGTTTCAGCTTTTGGCAAAGCAGCCAAGAACTACTGACATTTCAAAGGGTCACAACTGTAACTTTGGCCCGAGTAGGAAAAGGAGGGCAAGCTAAACATTAGCTTCTGTTCATGCTCTATGTGCCGAAAACTCCAGAACTCCCCCTACCCTTCATTCCTCAAAAACAGGAGGTCTCCCTCATTGGGGGCACAAGTGCTTTACTTTGGTGGAGAGAGAAAATAAATTTAATAAAGTGGTTGAATCCCTGTTTTAAAATGCAAAAATTAATTTAATTGGAATTACAGAATTATGCCTGCTGACTTGCTAAAGCATGAAGTCCAAAAATGGCTAAAGCATCTAGAGGGGGAGTTGAACAGTATTTAGGTAAGTCCAAAGCAAAATCTTCAAAACCCTCATCTAAAGCCCTTAGTACAAAAACACTCAAGTTTTCACCACTGAAGCTGTCTAGATCAGGGGTGCACAAACTGCAGCTCATGGCATCTGGCCTGCGGGGCTCCCCACTGGTCAGGAAACTTGGTGGTGGGGGAACAATGGCTGTTAATGCAGCCCTTGCTAACAAATTCCTGCACTGCCTCTCCCCATGCATGGCTGGATCAGGTCCGGGCCATGCCCTCTTGAAAACAGAATTCAACCTTTAACAGGAAGGAAGAGTGCTCCCAACAGCAGCCTAGAGGTAAGGGCATTCTTCTGGGAGGTAAAAAAATATAGGCTTGAATCCTCTAAGGCCAAAAAAGCCACTGAACCCATGTCTTCCACATCCTAGTCCCTCCATGGATCTACTGGGCTTTTTTACATACATTAAAAGAATCTAATGTGCACCTGAATATTTCAAGTGTACAGGCAAATTCATAACTCTAGAGAAAATATCAGAGCCATTAAGTCAGGTAATATAAATATATGCTAATCTTTCCATGACGGACTCAGATCTGTTACTATGAAAACATACACTAAAATAGCGATTAAAGAGAAGAAATAATTCAAATGCATGTCAGGACCCAAGATGAGGTCAACTGAGTTTTGTAAAAAAACCCACCTAGGCCACATTTAACAACATAAAGGGAAAAAAAACCTTTCTGCCAATTCCTTACCTACCATCAAATTACACAGCCTGGTCACATGGCCAGGGAGAATATTGCAAGCCTGCCTCTTTTTGTCAAAAAGACCAGTTACCACTGTTCTAGAGGTAACATAATAGTTTCCATCTGTTTTTCAGATATTTATCGCTTTCTGAAATACATCTTTTTCAAACTGCAATAATTTCAACCCAGGTTCCTACCAGAAGGTAATCTTCCCTGCACCATGTTGAGCAGAAATGATTCTATTTTGGAGTAGGAACAATGAGGCATGTATGTCAAGGTAAACAACATACTTTCCTCATTGTGACACATTTTACAGTGCTTTTAAAGGTCTCAAGCTCTGAAATTGCTGAGGGTAAGGAGGCCTGGATAGAAGCAGCACTCAATGAGAAATCTCAGCATTCTGGTGAAAACTGATTTATGAATAATTTTAAGGTGGCATTCTGTTCAGATTCCCAACATTCTACACGGCTTTTACTTGACAATCTTATAACAAACAACTCAAATAATTGTACATGCAACAGCTAAGTGAACTACATAAAATTTAGTGCAGGTGAGGCTAAGCATTCAACTGTATTTTTTATTAAGTCAATATGTTATTTTTACACTGACTGGAAAGAATGAGCAGAACAGAATTAATTTGGCGGTAATAAAAAGCACATTACATTTAAGAGCAATGATCAAAAAAGTAAACAAAAAAGCTGATAAATACTGTACATAAAATCTTAGATCAAAGCAGGGCCTAGAATTTCCTATTCCACAGTTAAGATGGTTTCACTTCAAAAGCCACATAAAGGATAAACTTTTACTTTTAGACTTTCTGAAGGTATTTCTGGATGTGTTGCACAACCATAGGCAATTTCTATGAGATACTATATTTAGGAAAGGAATGCTGAAGTCTCACATACTTGTTCTGCATTTTCTTTATTTGCTTTGTTCTCCTCATCTTCCTCTTCCTCAGGTTCTACAGGGGCAGGAGTCAGGGAAGCCACAAAATGCCATAAAATATCATGAAGAGAAGTTGTTTGAATGACGTTACAGAGGAGCCAGTTAAAAGCCTAAAACAAATTTAGGTATAGAATTATATATTTGTTAGAGAAAGCTGGAGGTATGGATTAATTAGATTATTAGATTAATTTTAATAATTCATGCAAGATTCATAAATATTTTTGGTAAATTAATCACAAACACTGATGTAAAGACCATTACAAAAGCAGTATTTCTTTTCAGCCAGAAACCACTTCTTAGAATGATACAAATATATTACAGGGAAAACAGCACACTAATCTAGAAACACGCTACATGAAAAACTACGTTAATGTGAAGAATGATGAAAACAATTCTCTTATGTATATTCAAAGATTATAATAAAGAGCGACCTCTTATTAGAGTTGCCTGATACTTTCCATTATGAACATTCTGTTTTCAGTAATTTTAACATTCCCAAATTATAACCATTTAGACTGAACTTTCCTTGCTTGGTATTAAACCAAGGCTAAGCATTTTTTGGGAAAAAAAATAGTCAAAAAGGTTCAGTCACTTCCAGAAACTAGCCTAGTGAAAATATATTGTATACAAAAATGCTGGTGACCTTTTCTTTGGAAAGCTCAAGCACTCCCATCCTTTGTAGCTAGACACTGAAATTGAGCTGTATAAGGGCTTTTAGATAACAGTGGGCCTTTTTGCCTGCCATGCAAAATGCCCCCCTAAATTTTGCCTTGTTATAAAAGCCTTGGAAAAAAAACCCCTCATCTTATAAATGCTTAGCCTTGCTAGACCTTAGTTAAAGATTCTATCCTCACTGAGCCTCATCAAAACCCTCACAGCTTAGTGCTGTCCAGGCCCCACACATGCTGATCTCGTAGAGCATGCTCAATTCACATAAAGCTCCTATGAGCGACAGGATGGCAAACATATCATCCCACAAAACAACTAAGCATTCCAAATTTTTGGATGTATAAGAATTTTTTCCACTGAAAAAGGAAGTCTAAAATTCAAGTGTTTTGTACATTAAAGCTATGTAACAACATAATTGAAATGGAATCTGAGTCTAATTTAAATCAAATTCACTTGAAAGCTTTTCCACAGAAATTTATCCTTTTTCAGTGACGTCTTACATGCTATAAAACACGGTGTACCCTCCCATCCAGGACAAAAGGATTGATGCTGGCCTTTTGCTATTTATGGCTGTTCTGGGCTGGAATCATGTTAGGCACGAACTGAGAGTAGGTATCCTGTTTTGTGTCCTCAATGGCACCCAGGAGAAAGTCACCAGATTGAAATACAGGATGATAAGGGCAAGATTTATAGCAATGTGCAGGGAAACCTGGGAGTTGAAAACTGGAAATAGAGGTTGACACAATGGCAAAGACTAGGAATTGGAAGATGAAGAGCTAGAGGGGGTGATGGGGAATGTGAAGAGGCACTGAGATTAATAAGGAGCTAGATACAAACAGGAACCATCAGAGCAAAGAATAAGTGGAATGTAAGGAAGCTAGATTTAACAAAAAGCACAAAGGAAGAACTGGGGCTGGCTGGATGATTGAGACAGCAGTGGTGAGGACCTATGAGGTTGGATGAAAAGTGCAGGGATACTGGGAGGCAATGAAAATGAGGAAAACAGATGGGAGGGGAAACAGAGCAGGCATGGGGCAGGGGTGGAGGAAGCTAGGAATAGCCCGGTAAGAAACCAGACTGGGAATGGGAAAGGAAACTGGAACTAGGATCAATGTGTATAGAAAGCCAAAAAGCCAAGGTATTCCAATCTTGTCTATGTGCACGGTAACAGCCTACTTCTGCTATCAGTTATTCTGCTAGCTCAAGTGGCAGAGGTCTATACCACGAACTAAGATTTCCCATCCTGCTGATGAACATACGTGTCAATTTGTTTTTTCAGTATACTATTTCAGTACTCAGAAAAACAAATTGATGGAACCTTAAGCATGCAGAGTCAAGTGCTCAAAATCTAGGAAATACTAAAGTTACAGGTAGCCCATACAACCTTGATTTGGCACCCTTGTTTGTATGCATTATGATACAGTCCAATTACGTGATCATATGCTATTCCTTTACAGGACTCCTGCTGCACTCAGTGCACAGGTGGGTGATGTTATGGGTACAAATAAATATTTTGTAGTGAAAGAGATACTGGTCTCTCAGATTCACTTCATTTGTTGCCAAAGATGGAAAATGTGTGTGAACTAAGGCAAGGGAAAGCAGGAAGAGAAAGGTTAAGTAAGGTTAAAGGCAGGGCAATGCTGCCCTACAGAACATGATACTATTTCTTCCTTTGCAATAGCATCCTGTTGTGATGCTAGGCAAGTCCCTTAAAGCAGACTTTTCACATATTACTATTTGCATGTCTGTCATTTCATTGATGTCCATTTAAGATCCTAGTGTTCAAGTCACAGATGTAACAAGCACTCAAAGATGCAACTGAGGTTAAAAGGTTATGCGCAGACAGTGGTTTATAATGTTAAATACTCTGAAAAGTCAGGTCCAGGCATGTCAAACTAGGTATCCAAAACTAGAGGACTCTTTCTGTGCCTTCATTCACTCTTTCTAAAACGGGGATAATCCACAGATGTGTTGAAAATAGTTCAATAATGTTTGTGAAACACTCACATACTTTAGTGATGAACACCATGGAAGTCTATGGGGAAAGGAATAACTCTTCAGAACGGGGTTTTAATACTGTGCAGTAAATTAGACATGAGGACATCAATGGAATGAGGAAATACCTTGCTTAATTTTGCAACCCTAATGATATCTTTTTAATGTATGCTTATCTACATGAGACACAATACAGGCCAACTTTATAAACTAAGTTAACTTTTCTATTTCTTTATTTCTGATTCAGTAAGCTTACTAACTGGATTAGTTTTAAATTTCTCTGGGAGTCAGTTTGGGATTAGTGAAAGATCTTACCTTCTTTTTGTATTAGTATTTAATTCTATATAAATAACTGTTTTGAATGAAAGGACAAATTGCTAATGCATCGTTTTTATTATTCCAGGTCCATTATTACCTCCATAGCAAAGACACGGCAAGCAGATTTCCGTAAGGCTTGTTTCATTGCTATTTCAAGTCCTTCAAGATCATGGTGTTGGATTACAAATGCCAATACTGGCCACTGGAAATTTCTTTCTCCTTTAGAAAGAGAGCTGTGAGCAGAGATTAACCGAGAAAGTTCTGGAGACGGATGTCTCAGGAGAGAAGACCCCACTTCTATTTAAAGACAGAAAATATGTGTACATTAGATCTTAATGTAATTGTTTTTACGGTAACTATAAAAATGTAAAACACTAAAATGATTTAATTGTTCCTCAAAATATATGTAATAAAGCCTGAAATGAAAAGGTGATAGTTCTCTTCAGAGAAGATGACCCTAAAACCCCCTGAAATGTTACTTAAGATTTTAAACCAAGAAGAAGAGTCCCCAGAATATATTTCAGCAGTTCAGTAATTCCTGGGCTGTTCTTTATATCTTGGTTATTTGTCTGAAGTTAAATGCGATAAATGGAAGACCAACTATTATTAGGATATAAGTACAGAAAAACTATTAAAAAAGTCTACAGTTTCAGTGATGAATTATAAAACTTACTAATAATGAAAAAGATATTTTACCACAGTATGAATATGTTTCTGGTGTTAAAAAGATGTCTGTGCTCTTACCTGCATCTCCACTGTTGACTCTTCTCCTAGGAATGGCCTTGACCCGTGCAGGTAAAATAGAGTGCTGTTTGTCATATTCTGATGCAACAACTGAGTATGATCTCTGAAAGACTGTGCGCTTTGCCAGATCTGTATCTGTTATTGGACTGGTCTCCAAACTACAAAGGAAAAGATATGAGTGAGGTCAAAAAGGATTTCAACAACAATGTAATCCTTCAACAACATGCTCAATTACAACATTATTATTTAAACAAAACCCCTAATCTTTTACATGGGAAATAACATGAAAATTGACATAAATATTCATGAAAACAGCACATATTTGGTTAATGACAGTACCACTGATGCATGAAAATCTGCCATCTGCAGTCTTAATAAATATGTTAGCGCTGACCAAGGAATCTTTTTGCAAGATTTTTCAATGTATACATTCACATATACATGCTATAATATTGAAATATGTAACTAGTGGTGTCTTTAGGACTTCACTAGGACTTGTACCTTCCTTGGGACTTACCAGACAACTTTTACAATGTGAGGGTTAAAAAGGGCAATACTGCTCCCCACCCAACAAGACTTCCTTCAAGGTTAAAACTTGAAATGGAAGACCCATAGGTTTGCTTTATAACACAGCTCAGGACAGAACAGAAATTTATAAAAAATTGTGGATCTACAGGTATCTAGAAAAATATTAACCAAAACATGGGTAGATTTCTGAGTCATATCACTACAGTTATTTGTGGCCAGCAGCCTTAAAAAAACTTGCAGATTGGCTTCAATTTTGAAAAGATAGTAAAGCCCTCAAACCAAACCAGACTGATCATTGAAAGCCAAAAGATGGTGGTCTTGGGTGTGAAAGAAGCATACAGATCTATTAAAGTGTGTGTACTCCCACAGTTTTTCAGATGACCTTTTTCAATGTTGAAGTCCAGGAGATTATGGAAGCATGGGGTTTTCTTCTACTGAAGAATTAAAGGGTCTAGTCTCAAATCAATGCTATGCGACTATTATAGCCAACTGATATTTAACGCTATAGGAAATTACCTCGGTGGCATAGATTTCATGTTACTCTCTGGCTCCTCAAAGACATTAGGACTTGCATCAGGAGTGACTGATATGTATGGTGCAGGTACTGAAGTTGAACGCAGATATCTCATCTCATCTTGAAACAGGTTGTCATCCTGATAACCAACAAAGTTTTCATGATGATGCCTGCAATAAATTAGATATTTAAATCAAAATCAATGCTAACCTTAATACATTTATGGAACCAAATTCTTCTTAGTTCAACTAGCCAGCAGCCACTATCATTCAACAGGTTTATTCATTTAGGGCATGTGGCCCTGGATGCAACCTCAGCTTGCCAGGCTGCTGCCCTGCCCTGCCCCTGGCATGAACATGAAGTGGCAGCTAGAGGAAGAAAAGGGGAGCCTGAAAACTCTGGCTGCTATTGCAACCACTGCCATGGGGGGGGAGTGGCAACCAAGTGAGAGCCCAGGGACCACACATTAACTCCTTGCTAGCTGCATGCAGCCCATGGGCCTCCAGTTGCAGAACCCTCGCTTAATCCATTTAGGTACAAACTAATTGGGACCTTCAGGCAGTAACAGAATACAAACTGCAGCGTGATTCTAAAGAAGCAAGGTAACTAATAGTGTGTGCGCGCGCGTGTACGTGCGCGTGTGCGCGTACAGAAAATTGTTTATTTTTTCAAACAGTAACAGAGCTTCTCAAGATGTAGGCCAGTTTTCATCCTGACCCATTTTAGAACTCATGAACATTACATATTCAAGTAAAAGCTACTTGAAAATAGAAGAAAATGGTTCCCATAAGATCATTCCCATTTCCTCTCTCCCATCCCTTCACAGCATTAGCAAAGGAACTGGGACAGGCTGAAGGCAAAACTGAGAATCTGATTTATGGATTTCTCTCTCAGAGTTCATGTATGCCTGGAGCTTTAGCCTTAAAATTACATATACAGTATCCAAAAGTTAGTTTAGGAATCTCAGAAATATATGTCCAATCTAGGCAGACATGACAAAAGCATGGAAACACTCAAGAGAAGAAAGAATCATGAGAAGTCACTCTCAGAGCAGTATGATTTTATATATAAATTTTAGTTTTGTACGTAATTGTTATTCAAACCTTACAAATAGCAGATGTCTGAATCAGCGTTAGGAGTGGCTTTCATTACCTTGCTAAAGTCTGTAGATAGAGACATGGCATTTTGATGGGAAAGTCTTCAGAAATTCCTTCTTTGACACTGGGAAGCTGAGATTGGAAAGGTTTTGCAGGATGATAGCACAGGATACTAGGCTCAGCAGCGCTGCTCAAAGACAGCAGGAACAGTGCATTGGCTTTAATCACTTGATGAGCTTCCATGGTTGGCAAGGCACGAGGAGTTTTAACTTGCATTGGCTTTCTCCTGGATTGTTTAACCTGGGAGAAAATAATAAGTGTTGGCAATGCTGGTATTAATGGCCATGGTCTAATGCTTGTAATTATGATACCATGGTAACTTTACTAAATCAACAATTTAGGCTGAAGTTTTCCATGCTCTATGTTTGCTTCAGGTTAATTTTTTGGGGAAAGTTTCAGAAAAAATTAGTTCATCTGTTCCTGAAAACAAGATTAAGCCAACACTGTTTGGCCTGTATTCAAGAAATTTCTTGTAACTTTTCACCAAGACACTCTAATAGCTCTGTGCTCTGAAACAAACATTTAGTATTTGACAGGTCTTTGCTTTTGACTCTTGTCATGAAAAACTGCCCTAAATAGAACAAAAAAATAAAAAAAAGTTGTATTAGAATAAGCTAAGAGTTCATTTATAAATTTGAATCTGAATAGCTGTAACTTGTATTGAAAATATATTAGGGATTTATAACACCTGTGTACCACATCTTCTTAGATACAACATCCCCTGGAATATAATATACACCTTATTTCTGAAAGGCAGAATAAAGAAAACATTTTTTGCAGAGTTGTGGCTGCACAGAGCGGGGAGACAGCCTAATCTTCAGCTGACTCTCTCTCTTTCCTGCTTAACTGAACCTGAAACCCTAGATGCTGCTGAAGATGCGGGTGGTTCTATGATTTTGAAAAAACTAGCGTCTCCAATGCTGTAAAATATGAGAAGAGAGACCAGTAACAGTTACCAGGCAGCAAAATTGCCCTAAGAAAGGCTAGCTTGATTAGGAGAACATCAAGCCCATTAAAAAGCAGAGCTTTTTGTTAACACTTCTGGAGTGAAGAACAATGAGCCATTAAGTGAACTGACTCCGTCAGCTGCCTAAGTAGCAATACAACAAATGGCAAACATTGTGAAGCAGAATCAAAGCAGAGTGCTTCTATCCTGGGTAGAAAATCAGCGTTACTATTTAATAAATTAACCCAATTTTTTGCGGGGGGAGGGGGGGGGTAGGGGTGTTGGAAGAGGAGATGGAGGGGCTGATTTTTTTGGGAAAAATGTGCACACTTTATGTGAGAAAATGCTACAATGGCTTTTTTTTTCTGGTAATGAATTAGATTTGAATTACAAAACCAGAATTGCTAATCAAACTTTCTATCTACAGTTTCTTAACATTGCTAATATAAGGGAGTGTATTATGGCCTTAAATTTCTCTGAAATTCTAAAATCACTAGTTTATAGCTTAAATTATTACCAAAGCACACCTGAATTACTAATATCAATAAAGTGGGAGGAAAAGAAAAGGATAAAAGTACCTTCTCTCTTGCTGCTGCTTGCTTCTCACGGAGATATTTTTCTCTGCATCTATCACAAACCAGATACCAAGTACTTCCTCCAATACCACCATCACCACAATTACCAGCCCATCCTCCACAGAAGTGTCCGATACTATTGTAACCTTGGCCACCTGCGTATCGGCCACAACCTTGAGATAATGAAAAAAAAGAAAGACATAAAAGGTTTTTCAGAATTGAAGATTATGTCTCATCTGTAAAACAGGCTGAAGTCATTTTGCTTTCCCAATTTCCTACCCCACTTTGATTTTCTTGTAATTCAATAAGCTGAGAGCAAAGAAATACCTAAGACTTCACACATTTGTATTTCTTAAAATCTGTTCATTATAATAACCTTTTAAAACCATTTAACAAGCTATTTAAGCCCATGAGCAACTTTAAGGCTTACAGGCAAATATGATTTAGTGATGTGCTTAAATCAAGGCTCTAATTCTTTAAATGTTTCAAATAATTCATAGTACGGCTAAGAAGTTCTAATATGCTTTTAGTCTTATATTCTGAGCAAGAATTTGGTTATGGAAAAAGAGCTAGTTTTACCTGGATGAGCCTGTCTCATGTGATAAGTCACTGGATATGGATGGGATTCACTGCACAGCTCACAGATGGTATCTTTCTCAGGTCCTCCCACGGCAAGCTGAGCCATCTCGCCAAAAAGATTTCCCCTTGGCCTAGCGTCAACCTTTTCTTTTTTCTTTTTTTCCTTTTTGGTTTTCTTATTATCTTTGTCACTTTCTTTTTTCTTTAACACAGCACAGGAACCAGGGCTTGGAAAAATCATGTTCTGGGAAGCTGCTTTGATAGTTGCTAAAGAAATGTCTTCCCAAAAGGCTACCAAGTGCTGCAGTGTTAAGGGAAGAAGAGACTTAGATTTCATGGGGTGATGACTGGATGTTTCAAAAGAGGTAGTTTCCATTTTTCCATCTTCACATTTCTCATGGAGAGGTGGTTCCTTTAGCATAGAGAGGACTTTGTTTTTGTTGATGCTGCCCATTTTAGATATGTCTGGTCCATGAGGTGAAATGTTAAACATATTAAGAGCAGATGATATTTCCAATGAATGCCTATTTTTCAACTTAGTTTCTTTTTCCTCTGTAGGTTGTTGATTCAGACTGCTTCTGATAGGGGCATGCTCTTTAGAAAGATCTGGATTAAATTTCAAAAAAGATGAACAAGCCATAGCATCATGGACTATTCCTTCATGCCACAGGAAGGCAGCAAAGACAGCTCTAGCACATTCAGCAACAGAAGGTGACATAGCTTGCTTGGCTGGTTCTATAGGTTTGGATGCATCTCCTTTGAAAAGAAAGCCAGATTTTTCCTTTTTTGGTCTTGTGTGCCTACCAGCACACTTACGGCTTACTTTTGGAGAAGCTCTCATATCCTGTTCATCTTTTAGGGGCGCTTTTCCTATGCTGAAATGAACTTTATTAGAACTATCATCTAAACTTTTGAATTCAGAGTTATCTTCACATGTGCTATCTGTGATGCTATTAGTCTTTAAAGTGCTTGAAGTACAAACTTCAACAACTTCACTGTGAAGATTTTCTTGTACAACATGAGGGGAAGGAGCTCTATTTTCAGTTTCAGCCACAGGTTTTACATCTTTTGAGATAATTTTTGGTTTGGGTGAAGTGGACCTTCCACGCAAGGGCTCTGTTAGTGGTACTTTCTTCTTGCGAAGCGTGTCTGGATCTAGAGTGTAAGAGTCTGATTTGGATCGTTCCCGAGGAGGATCAAGCTTTGTTTTAACAGGAGCTGAAGTTTTCTGAGCTAGTGCCTTATCTTGTGGAGACGATGATCGGGGAGAACTAGCACCAGGCCTACCTGCAGTAAGTGTCTTTGTCTTTGGAGATGAAGATCGGGTTCCTGGCCCTGGTGATTCAGCTCTAAGACCAGAAGTTGTCCTCCCATCAGACTTTAATATTTGCAAAGTGTTATGGTTTGGAGATAACGATCTACTGTGAGAATCTGATCTCAACTTTGCAGCATCTGATTTCAGCATAAGAGACTCACTGGCAGATAAACCTTCTGTACTCCTTGGTTTCTTCTGATCAGCAATAGCTCTGTTCACACGCATGTCAGGCTTGGGTGACCTGCTCTCAGCCCTGTGTTTTGATGAGATATCCGTTTTCCCTGCTGGAGAAACTGGTCTAGCAGCAGCTGTGAAATTCATTCTTTCACCTGTGTGGCACATTTTATAATTAAATTATTACATTACATCCACAGTATCCTTAAAATATATGTAAAAATACACAGTGTTCAATACAAACATGTAACTCAACCACGTGCTTCTGCTAATATTCAAGTGGCAACAGAGCTCAAGAGGCTTTTTTTGAGGATTTTTTCAACAGGTCCACAAATATAGAAATGAATAAGCACATCTAAAAGCACATACCAGAACATATTTATAGAAAGTGCTCTACTTGTGAAGTTACCTAGAAATTAAAAATCTGGTGAATTTGAGTTCATTATTTTCACTGGCCACCAGCAAGGGGGAAAAAACAAACACCTGCTTATTTGGAAGCTAGAATAAAATGTATTACAACAGTATGAGTGTTCTTATTTACTATTACCTTTATACCTATGATTTTAAGCAGAAAACAATTACATCTCCATGTAGAGAAAAATAACTAAAAATACACAAGTAAAACTGTGATAAAAGGCTTGCACACATATGCCAAGATAATGGTCACAGTCTCAGACACTCAGAGAAAGCTGTCATTATTTTATACTATGCAAGAATTTGAATATTAAAAATTAAATGTTTCCAATCACTGTGACCCTTAAATAACGGTGCTACTTTACCTACTGTATTTCATGGTGTACAGGTTGAGGTGATGTACGAGTCAACCCCATGTTTCTGATCCAAAAAGTTAGGTTGACTTATACACTGGATCTATGAAATTCATAACTTTTTGGATCAGAAACATGGGGTGGACACATGCCGCAGTGCTGCTCATAGGGAATGGGGCTGCGCCAGCCGAGCCTGGCCTCATCCCCTGCAAGCGGCGCTGCCTGGGCTGCACTAGCCAAGTGCCAAGTCTGGCCCTCTCCCCTGTGAGCAGCGCCGGGCTTGGCACTCAGCTGGCATGGCGCCATCGCCTGCAAGTGCACTATGGAGACGCTGCTCAGCTAGGTGCTAAGCCTGTCCCCGTCCCCTGCGAGTGACACTGCCTGGGCTGCACCAGCCAAGCACCGAGCCGGGCACTGCTTGCAGGGGATAGGTTCAAGCTCACTGCTTGGCTGGCATGGGGCCCAGGCAGCGCCGCTCACAGGGGATGGGGACAGGCTCTGCGCCTGGCCAAGCGGAGTTCCCACAGTGAGCAAGGCCCACAGGCCGCACTCAGACTGGGCCTAGTCCCAATGGCCTCCAGTGACAGGGATGCTGTCAGCAGATGAAGGTGGTCTGGTTGGGACCAGGCCAGGGTTGAGGTGGTGGTCAAAAGTATTGATACGGTGTATAAGTTAAGGTTGAACTTTTAAGAGTTAAGAATTGGGTTTCAGAACTTGACTTATACACCATGAAATACAGTAACTCTTCTGTTTTGATGCAGAACAATTTGTTCTACATAAACTCATTCATTGACAATCAGATAGCTGGCAGAACAACTAGAACTATGCAAAAAAAATATATAAAGTATATATGGCTGAACAGTATAACTCACAAGAAAAAAACAAAACAATGGGTCTCCATATTATTTCCCATGAATGGATAAACTAAGTTTTCACTATTACCTGGTATTTATAAAATTAAAGGCATGTAATTTCAAAATAGTGAAATAGTACTGGCAAACTACCATGTAATCACAAATTAATAAATGTACCAAGCCTATCCCTTAGTAGCTATATGCTACAAATCTTCACTCAATTAATTCAACCGATTTCAATGATTTCTCATGAATTCAAGTGAAGTGTGTGTTCCAGTACGGTGTGCAGATTAGGCTGCTTAGCAATAAAATATTAGTTTTTCTGACCTGAATGACCTATGTGAAATAAAAAGATCATAAATAGTCAAATTGTTTTTGAAAATACAGTAGTTTGTTGAATTTGTTGTCTTTTATGGGCTGGAATTATTTTTCTTTCAGTAGAGTGGTGGTGATGTCTACCTCTTATTCAACCTAATGACTGAAGCAACTACCTAGGATGTGGGAGACCTGGTATTCCTTCCTTCTTCCTCTCTGAGGGATTGAGTCCATATTGTTTACCTCCCACTTATCTCACCATCACACTAAAGGATATTCTGGCACAGGGCACTGACACTTTTTTGCTGATGCGATTCTGCTTTGCATACAGGGACTAGAATCCACATTTCATCTCCCAGGTAAATGTTCTAACTACCAGCTGTTTTGTTCTTTGAAAAATTGGGTATGATATAACAAAAGAAAACGGATCTAATAGGACAGATTGAAGGAGACTCACTTTGGTATATCTTTAGGCAGCAATTGAACTCAGGTCTATCACAGCTTGGGCAAAGGCATTAAGTACTGGACTATTAGATATAAGGGGACAGAGCTGGCCTTAGGGGTGCTGTGGTCAGGGGGGTGCCACACACATGCACACGTGAGAAGTGTGTGTTCACATCAGTGCTCTCCCCCATGCCCCCCAAGCAGAAAAAGCAGTGCCTCAGGGTCACAGGAGAAGCAGCTCAGCCTGCCTCCTGCCCCCAGCCACTGCTCAGGAGGAGCTGGGCCAGGCAGTGCAGGTAGCAGCAGTGGTGCCTGCCCACCCACCTGCCTGGTGCACTATGCTGCTCCACCTCCCTCCTGGATTGTGCCCTGTGCTCCTGCCCGCCTGCCTTTGCCTGAAGCAGTGTCGCTGACTTGGGGCGGGTGCCAGGGAGCACCAAAACATAAGTTCACCTTGGGCACCATTTTGCCTAAGGCCAGCTCTGTAAGGGGATACTATTGTCCCAAGGAGCTTTGTAAATATAGACCTTAATTTCCTTAGCTTTTATGACAAATACTTTAAAATTTAACATTTTGTTTTGAAACATACCAGGAAATTTTTACCAATAAACAAACACTAAATTGTTATATCAAATGTACACCAAGAAATAGCAAACTTAAAAGAAATTCTGATACAGGAATTCCGATACATCCCAAGTGTATGGGATGAAAACGTACTGAAGGAGAAAAGCCATTTTCAATTTAACATATGAATAACCTAGCTGTGTTTGCATGCATACCCACCCTTTAGTTTGTGAGAGAGGGATGAAATAGCAGAGGCAGGCCCAGCTACATCACTAGTTTTGTAAATACGCTCACGAGAAGCAAGGCAGCAGGATGGAGTTTCTACAGTGGAAAACAGTGGCACAGAAGCAGCACAGATTCAATGGAAAAATAGCAAAGATAAAAATAAGCAAACAAGCATTTTGAATGATATGCAATCTACGCTGATTAATATGCTGAATTTCACTGTTGATACCTTCTCCTAAACGTGTTTGAAATGAGAAACTTACAATTTAAAATAAAAAAAAACTCTGATATTTACATTAACGTTCTAAAAAAAAATAATTTTATGACCTCACTACATGCAACAAAAAAAACGAATATCAGTGAAAACTGAACAAAAATCTTATTTGTGGAATAACAGGGTTTATGCTCTATTCTAAAATAAGGACAGTGATAGTGACTAGTTTTGCGCTCGTGTTCGTATTTGGGATAATTTATAAATATATGCTAATAAATTATTTAGAATTACAATATGGCCTTTTTATAGAGCAATATTTGAACAGAAATAGATAAGTCTTTGGAAAACTGCAAAATCACTACAATTAATGATGAAAAAGTTTACATTTTAAAAACGGGTTGTTTTGACTGACTTTTTTGATTATATGCCACATAAGAGAATATAAACTCAGTTATAAAATGTGCTTTTTGTATATGTCAGTATGCATAATATGAACTTTAACTACTCAATACTACAGAATGACATAACCAAAACTAAACAGATTCAAATAAAATTAAATATACAGGTTGAAAAAGAAAAAAAAAACCCAGTTCACTAGGGCTTTTATTTAATAGGATAGCAAACATTTGGTACATCAACCCTCACACTTTATGAGAAAGACCCTTTATTCACGATGTTGTTAGAACTGTAAAGACCAAAATTACATCTTTAAGAGCAATAAACTAAATTCATTCCTGGTATAACTCCGCACTTGACTTGATTGGAGTTATAGCAAGAATGAATATGGTCCATTAAGTCAAACTCCAATTAAATTAAGCATGGAGTTATAACAGGACTGAATTTACTCCATCAAGTTAAGCAACTTGGAAATATCTACAAATCACAGGACTATTACTCTAGCTTTAGCATTACAACCCATAGAACATGTAATATCGCAAAGGTCTAAATTTCAGTAAGAGTGGCACAAAGGGCTAACTAAGAGTGAAATGTTAACATGGAGTTTTTTTTAGCCTCAACTTTACTGTATTCCTTTAGGTTAATTTTAATTTATATCTTAACTTTTCACTTTCCATCACTAAAGTTAAATCAAACTGCTATTAAAGCACAGTCCAGAGATTTAATTTGTATATTCACTAGAAAATAGCATACTTTAGAAAGGCTTTTTTGTGCAAACACAAGAGGTAAGAGCATTTGAAGACCTGTGTCTTTCATGAACTTAATTGTGTGTGGTGTTTAATTTGTTTATATGCTTTAATAAGTGAAGTACAAATACTTCCAGGCCTAAATTTTAAAAGTCTTGTGCATAGTGCACATATACTTTGGACATCTGAAACAGTAATACCATTCTTCCAGACAGAAACAAAGCATGAAAAGTACTTGAGATAAATATTAGTACCCAATTTTGTGCCTGCATGTCCCCTGCAGGATATTCTGTACTACTTTAGACTGCTCTTGTGTGATCAGGGCCACAAACAAATGTTCATTTCTAGAAGCAGAAGTTTCTGAGAAGTTTCCACTGCTACAAATGTTTTTGGGAGAGGGAACAGTATAGGTGTTCAGCCTGCAGCCACCCGCTCCTTTCCTGCTTCTTGTGCCTTCCCAAGACTGGGATGATCCTGGTCTGGGGAAGCACAGGGATCACTGCCTTACTGCCCTGGGGAGAGCTTCCCCCAGGGCTTTGAAATCAGCACATGTGCCACCTAGTGGGGACCACATCGCTTGGGGAAGAGGTAAGGAGCAGTGGCGACTGCTCCCCTCCTTTGCCCTCTACACTCAGACATGTCTGGGAGGGGAGGGGACCAGTGAAGCAAAGCCCCCTGTTCCTTTCCCAAAGGGGACTGAAGGAAGCTGCTCCTCCCCTCCTGGTCTATGGGAGGGGCAAGAGGAGCACGGCAAAGTCACTTCTTCTCTATGCTTTGTCTAGGCTGGGGTAACCCTAGTCAGGGGAGCCTTTCTCCACCACTTGACTCCTCCTGGGAGGAGGTGAGCAGCAGCTGCTCTTCATACCGACTCCACACTGGGGAGCCCCTTGTCGTGGAAAGCATCTTCCTGTTGCTCAACTCCTGGTCTCTGGATAGAAAAGCATATGGATGTGCCTTCCTTTAGGAGAAACTCCTGCAGAAGAGATCCTCCTGTGGGAGGAGCACTTATACATTTGTGGTTTCTATCAGGAGATTCTCCTGGTAGAAGTAACGCCTGTATGCCTAGATAAGTGATTCTCAACCTTGTTAGACTGAAAGCACACCTTATAAAATGCCAGGTCTTAGGTTTGCACTTGGTATTTTGGCTACAGAAAAAACAACAGAGCAATTTTTCTATTGTAAAGAATTCAGAAAGATCATACCATTTCAGAACATTTTTGAAATGATGGCAGTGGTTTTTAACTTTTTTAGATTCAAGACTCCCCTTAGAAAATCCCAGCTCTTAGTTTTCATTCTGTTTTTGACTAAGGACAATAACAGAGCAATTCTTCTGTTACAAAGAACTTAGAAAGACCACAACAGGTTAAAATGGTTTAACACTATGGGTTTCTATTTGAAAAATCTGGGTTTATTTTGTCAATCATGTCTGTACACCTAACGGTGCTAATACTACGTGGTAATCCATAACACTCTTGAAAGGACCACAAGGCTTCCAGGCTGCCCTGGCACCCTGGTTGAGAATCACTGCACTATGAATTTGTTTGAAATATTGGGGTTTATCTTGTGAATTAGGCATAGATGTTTACACATCTAACAGTACTAATATTGCATAGTACACTGGCTGAGAATCACTGGGTTAGACACCATGTCTAATCCTAGTTTATTCCTTATCTGAAAACTATGTTGCAGCATATAACTAAGATGCCACAGCTTAAACACAACAATTTTATAAAGCTACAGAAGGAAAGCACACATTAAGAATATTATGGTCAAGTATTTTATTTAGAGAAATAAAATACTTCAATTTCCTATAGAGGTGCAACGATACATTGGTCTGATATCAGACTGGTACTGATATAAAGAAAATTTGCTGTATTGGATATCAGCCTGATGGGGTTGATAATTTGGACATTAAATGCCTGTGCTGTGCACAGCTGCAGCACAGCAGGGAGAAGAGCCAGCAACATGGAGAGCTGCCTCCAGCTGGTAAGTCGGAAGGGGAGGGGGCAGGGAAGGGGCATGAGGGGGCAGGGGCAGGTGCTGCCCAGGGGGGCAGGGGTGCAGGACAGATGCACAGCTCACAGAGGGGGGGCAGCTCCCCCAGATCTGCTCAGGGCAGGCGGGCTGGAGCCGACACGCCGACACTGAGCGAGGCTTTTATTGGCTGGCGCTGGCGGTGCTGGGAGGGGCTGCTGCCACCCCAAATTTTGCCACAACTCCACTCCCAGCCCCGCACCACCAGGCACAGCCCAGCTCCACATCCTACCTCTACCTATGTGCTGGAAAGAGCAGACCCTGTGCTGGGCAGCTGGTGGCAGTGCTGGGAGCAGAGCTGCAGCGAAATTTGGGGTGGCTGCAGCCTCCTCCCAGTGTCCGCTCCGAACTCACCTCCGTTAAGAAGAGCCCCACGCAGTGCTGGAAGAGCCTTGGAGCAGACACCAGCAGCGCTGGGAGGGAGCTGCAGTCACCCCAAATTTCGCCACAGCTCTACAGCACAGTCTTGGCTCTTCCCAGTGTGCTGGTGGAGGAGGGACGTGGAGCCAGGCTATGCCTGGCAGTACGGGGCTTAGAGCGGAGCTTTGGCAACATCTGGGGTGGCTGCAGCCCCTCCCAGCCCTGCCAGTGCCCGCTCCAAGCCCAGCCCCCGCTGAGGAGCCCCACGCAGCGCCAACTCCAGCCCGCCTGCCCTACATAGATCTGGAGGGCACCCCCCACCCAGGGTGCAAACAGCGGTGGGAGCTGCTGCCCCCATGAGCCACTTCTCTGTCCCACACCCCGCCCTCTCTGGGCAACGCCTGCCCCCTCACTCCCTCACCGCAGGGGGCGATGATCTGTCCCCCCATGCCCCTTTCTCCCCTCCTCCCCTTTCACCACAACAGACTTACCTGGAAGCAGCTGTATCGGATCGGTATCGGGTGATATGACTCCTTAAATACCGGCTGTCAGTATTGGCCCCCAAAATCTTTATCAGTGCACCCCTAATTTCCTATGCAAGCACAAAGCTTTCAATATTATAAGCAAGAGTTTCTACTAAAAATCTTTGTATATGAATTGGCACCTCTCTCAACATCCAATCATTCAGGTTTGAAGTTTAACATTTCCTTAAAGATCAAATTGGCAGTTCACAATCTAACCCATAGTAAGCAACAAGTTTGGGAGGGAGATTATAAAGGAAGAAGTCACAGCCACCCAATTAGACCGTTTCCTGTGGCAGCGAGGAAACTAAACTGTGATTAGGATATGCCCTATTGAGCATGTGCTCCGATTCATGCTATTGTAACTACCTTGAGAAATGTTGGGAGGGGGTGGAAAAGGGAAGAGGAGTTTTGCGCAAAGGGAAAAACTGAAGTGTAATACCAATGGGAAAACAATGCTGAAACAACTTGGGTAAAAGTAATGATGAAAATAATCACCTGAGTTACTTAAATCCATACAAATTTTTTGAATGTACGTACTGCAGAAAACATTCTAACACTGGCAGAAGGTTAGAAAAAAAGAAAGTCACCAATGTCTCTTTACCATCTGTAATTTCTGAGCACACTACAGCTCAAACCTAATTGAACTTAATGGAATTTATACTGCACTACCAGTCATCCAGATGCTTTGGGATATACACAATTGGACAAAGGGAATACAAAGTTCACATCACCAAACAGATTTGTAATGCCAAAGCATAGGTTTTTTCTTCCCCACATGAAAATATTTAAAATTTACTAGCTCCTCTGTTCAGGAATGGTGGG